GCCGACCCCAGCTAACGAGAAAGGCGATGACTTCCTCCAACCACCACCTAACGCCCTTGTACCTGGCGCGCACCCAGATGACCTGGAGACAGCTCGACGGGCCGCGGTATCACCCGCGAGGACCGAGTCCCTAGAGCCTGCCAGCACACCGCTGACAGCAACCCTACAATACACAAACCGACTCCGTGAACGTCCGAAGATCCCTTACTCGCAATTACTCAAAGTCTGGAACGGACGAATCGCGCAGGATAGCTGGTTCCGAGTTGCCGCGCGACCATTTGTCCTATTCGCCTATCCCGCTGTGCTCTGGTCAACAGTGGTATACTCACTATCCGTCGGGTGGCTGATCGTGCTTTCGGAGTCGGTTGCACACATCTTCCAGAGCAAAGATCACTACCATTTCACCTCACTGCAGACAGGCCTGGTCTACATATCACCGTTTGTTGGCGGTCTCCTGGGAACCGCAGTGGCGGGCAAAGTGTCAGACATTATCGCCCGGTTTATGACCAGACGCAATGGCGGCATCTACGAGCCTGAATTCCGTCTCGTCATGGCAATTCCCATCGCTTTGTCCACCGTCATCGGTCTGATGGCTTTTGGGTGGAGTGCTGAGATCGGCGACTCCTGGATTGTCCCGACTATTTTCTTTGGTCTGATCTCGTTTGGGTGCTGCTTGGGCAGCACGACGGCTATCACTTTTTGTGTAGACAGCTATCGCCAGTATGCTGGCGAGGCACTAGTGACGCTGAACTTTAGCAAGAGTATGTTGAACTACCCTTCATTCTTTGGTTTGTTGTGTCTGATCTAACGCGTTTTTCCTTGCAGATATCCTCCACGGCCTGGTTTTCTCCCTTTTCATCGTCGACTGGCTCGATGCCGATGGTTCACGCACTGTGTTCCTGTCTATCGGCGGTATACAACTTTGCTTCATGCTTATGTCCATCCCAATGTATATGTACGGCAAACGAGCTCGCATGTGGACGGTGCGCAAGCGGCTCATGGAACGCCTTTAATTTGGCTCATTCAATATTCGGGGAATATCTTATATCTTTTGCATGCATTTTTTTTCTTGTTGATTGAATATACCTCGAGAGGGCCCCTACTATGATTGTTTTAGACATCTCTTTCTGATGTCATCAAATCTGGGGGTAGTTATGGTGGGAGCATTTGAAGGATCTCGAGCGAATCCGTCACTGGGGGATCATCAAGTCGCTTGAATCGAGCATATCAATGAGCATTATATTAGCATTGGGATTTTCAACGCTATCTTAGTCCTTGTGCAAACTAGAGCTCTCTGAACAAGTGATGATATCAGGGCGTGACGACTTAAGACCACCCTCGTACCTGTCTAAGAGAATCGCTGAAGAGAAATGACCCGAGCTAGGTGTAGCGCACGAAATCATAATCTGAACTTGCCTAGGATGTAATCGGTTTGAATGATCCGAGCGGGTCTAAACAAGAACTACATATGTAGCTGTACGTAACATATTTCCTCTGCCGGGTGGGGCTTTCCTATTTTAGCTGCCGCCGCTTTTACGAGGGCGCTCAGAGTCAGGCTCACTGAGTAAATTTCAGTCCGGGCTCAGGCTCAGTGATTGTGATTGGGGGTGCTCACTGATCGCTTAGTGATTGTGATTGGGGGTGCTCACTGATCGCTTAGTGATTGTGGTCGAATGCTCACTGACTGCTCACTGATTACTCAGACTGATCAGAGGCATCTATTGAGCACTCAGTCCACGCTCAGTCTATACCTAAAAGAGCACTTTGCCCACAACATTATTTATTTTACGATCACTTTTTGATGGCCCTCACTTCACACCATGCCCCGATTTCTTAAGGTGCACGATCTTCTAGTCTTATCTGTGAAGGGACGTAGCCAGTCTTGATTCAAACTAACTAAGCCGTTTGCAGTTGTCTAAAAGCTTAAGGAAAGAAGAGAGAGTTAACGGGGTTGAACGTAAACAAAAAGGGGTGTAGGGAAGGTCACGCGCGCGCACGTGATATCAACCGGGCACTGGCCCTTTACAATACCCCCCTCCTCCCCGTGATATGTGGAGGACACCATCCGCACGTGGGAGTGCGTTCCCTGAGGTCTATCGTTCATTCGGGCGTTTCCGTAACGTTCCTCGAAGGCATCTAATGCGGTGCAGTCTTCCAATTCGTCCAATCTCTCCCATGTTTGTTCCGCGAAACCAACCCATTTTACTGAGACTTCGCATCGGCGACCTCCCCCAACCTTCCGTGTACGTGCGGCTAGGATCTCTTCAATCTCCCACTCTAATTCGTTGTTGATAACGATTGGCGGAGGTTGGCTATCGTCCACGACTTGGGACGGAAGAGGATCTGTCGCCGTAGGGCGTACTAGATCTACGTGAAAGATCGGGTGGATTCCGCGCGGGACGCTTAGCTCTACGGTGTGTGGAGACGGGACGCTCACGACCAGACTTCCGCACGACCCAACTTTATATATAAATATGCATAAATATGCCAAGACCTTCCTAGTTAGTCCTATTTATACATATTTATGCAAAAAGTTGGGTCGTGCGGAAGTCTAGTGGAGTACTTAGCTATAGACAAAGATACGTATAGTTCATTCGATATAAGAGGTATTTTTCGAAACACGGTTTGTCCTATAAGTTCCCGACCCTAGAAAATGCGAATGTAAGCTGGGGCCATACTAGCGAAACTCTTCGCAACCATCGGCTTCTATAACTGACCATATTCTACATATACTTTTCCTTGACCGCAATATCTTTGGGATCACTACCACGATAGCAGACCTACTTAGTGTCGCTCAGTTCGCCAGCGCTACGTGGCATCTTAAGTCGGATATACTAGTGAGTGTAATCATCACAACAACAATAAGCTCTATTGTTTACTTCTAAGTAATCCTTCACCCTAGCTTTTTTTGTCCGATCGTCGATATGAAACTAATTATAATTATTTTCAGTTCCAATACATTAATGGCAGTGTAATAGCGGCGCTCGCCGTCTTAGAAAGCCCAAGCCGCATAAATACCCACCGTCCTCAAAAACTGGATAATTCAGAACTTGGAAATAGGGGAAACGACTGTAACGGATAAAGATCCTTACAAGGAGAATACCATGTCAGGCAGTCTTGGCAGATCGACCCCACGTCGTGGCCGATCCGAGAGGGGTTCATCACATGATATACATGTCGACATTGGAGAGATAGATCCGTTATAGTCTGGGACCCCCCAGGGTCCCTCAAGAGACTGGCAAGAATTAGTCTTGGCACTACAGACAATATATTGTATTCTTCTCCAAGCCATAGTATCTTACCCGGTTGACAGGCCATACACCTGGAAACAGTATACCTTTACAACGACCCTACTGAGCAATTGACGTTTATTCGGATGGTGCGCTAGAAGAAGCAAAGTAGTTCCTTCGGATTTCGAGACAGCAGTTCCTCTGGGGTGGTCTCTCTTATTTCGGTGGTCACAGCCTGGCCTTCGCTTTATCACATTTTGGCGTTAACACTAACGTATCACCATTTCCAATTATCTCCAAGGCATGTTGTCGGCATCACCTTTGATTTAGTCTTCGGAGTCATATCTATCGGTTCCTCCAACGCATATGCCTCTCATACTATTACTACGAAACGAAGTGTCGCTCGTCGTCACTGATACAACCAAGGAAGATTCTGGCCCAATTTTCCTAGGCTAAATTTCTTCGCCGTATACTATATATGATTCTGGCAGTTTCGATCAGGGCCCTAGCAACGCGCATTATTGCAAATGAGACACTTAACTTTCCTACGCTGGATTTGACTAAACTAGTTGTGGGGCTGCTCCTAGCGAATCTACACACTGCCTAGGTTCATGCTATCATTTCGAAGCCTAACAAGAAATCGTTCTAGCAGAGAATTCCTGGCTGGCGAGAGTGGATTGAAATCATGCCTGCAGCATCTTTGGACCTAGCCTCGCCAAAGTGTGTGTACTACTTGACGCAGAAGCTTCTCGCATTCCTTCATAAAAGTTCTCTCCCTACACCAATCCACATGCCTGTTGCGTTGGAATTTTTGACCTCGATTTTCACACGAGCTATATATTAAGGAAAGCTAGAGTCGACATATCACCGCTCAGGATTATTTGATGGCCTGAATTGACAAGTATCTCCTTCAATTGGTGCTAAGAGCCGTGATTCCATTGACCAGCTAGTTCATGGCCTAAAGAAGTGAACTACACGGTGGGATGCTACGTGGTGGTGTAGTAAATTGAGGTTAAAGTAAAAGGTAGGAAAATAGTTGCATATAGGTGATACTTTGCATATGGGTGGCGGACCCTCGCTTACGGGGGGGCCGCTTACAGACTAGCAAGTGGATGACCACATTGTCTATTCCCTTTTTTGGTTAATTCCCCGCGTTAATCAGTACCTAATTGAGTGCCCCGCGTGGGTTGATCGCGGCTTATGTAGCTGTGGCCCACCTTAGAATAAGTGCGGGCGTCCACGAGTACGCAAACCGAATTCTGAGCGACACATCCGCAATATTTGGGAATAGGTTTGGTTCTTGCATATATAGATGGTCTCTATTTTTCTCATCCTATCCTGAAGCACGCTTAATGGTCCAACCCTAAAGAATCCGTATTCTGATGCACGCCAAGGGCGCTAGGGCATTTGTCCCTTGCCTAGGCAGGGATTGTGCTACGGAGTACTCCGTACACGATTGAAAGTTACGAAATAGCCAGTCACCCGCGCCCATGGCCGCTCAAGCCACGCAAAACGGCCCCCAATTCTGCAGCCCTCCCTTTTCAACCAGGGCGCTGTTTGCCTGGGAAGATCGGCACCAGAACTGGGCAAACGCGGGGGTTGAGCCTCCAGTTCAAAATCCCCCGGGCTAATGTTCTTATTGTAGCTAACTCTGTCTTGACGGGCTTAATACATAAGCTAGCCAGTCCCTGATGTATCCTGGCTGAAACTCCGTTCCCGTCATCGCATCCTTCCAAGCCTTCTAGGTCAATGCTCGCATGACTGTCCACCATGTTCAATAGGGGCTCACTCGACCGCGACACGGAATTAATACCGATTCCCTACCACCAAAGTGCAGATCTGCTGATCCAAAGTACATCAGAGCGCGAGTCTGAAAGATACTCAGAGAGAGACACAGAAAGACTCTCCGCATACAATGAGGAGACCAAGCCCAAACATGGTTGGCTCTTTCAAGGCGGAGACCGGTTCCAAGGCTGGAGGTTCACTATCTGTCTAGCTTTTATCGCCAGTCTGATCGTCTTCCTTTTCAACCTCGGTTTTATGCTCTATACTATCTCTCATCATCGACAGGATGATACGAAGGGGATCTTGTACCAGGGTGATTGCGATAAAGTGCAGCATTTGGACATTGGCTTCCATTTGCTGATCAACATCTTGAGCACGACTCTGTTGTCTGCTAGCAATTTTGGGATGGTACTTGATAAACATCCCCAAATATGCTTTTTAATCAACTAATAGCGATATCAGCAATGCCTCGCTGCACCGACAAGACGAAACATCGACCGAGCTCACCAAAAAGGGAAATGGCTCGACATTGGAGTGCCCAGTATCCGCAACCTTTTCCGCGTATCTAAAGGACGATCGCTCTTATGGATATGCCTAGCATCCTCCTCTCTCCCTTTCCATCTCATGTACGACATTCCCTCATCTGATTAAACATCAACAACACCCCCGCTAAGCAAAGTAAAAAGGTACAATTCAACAATCTTCTCGACAACCTCCGTCACAGCCTACAATATCTTCCTAGGACATGGAGATCTAGGCAAAATACCTTCGCCAGACCTTGAAGTACCACTCCAAGATACGGACAAATGGTCCTCCTTCAACGGACTCTTTTCATCCGCCAAAAACGGATCTCTACAGCATCTCGACCCAAAGGAATGCGTGGACAATTACGCCCAAACCTTCCAGACAACCTATGGCGATCTCCTTCTTGTCACCGAGCAAGTGTCAACAAACACTTCATATGTTTACCTTACAATGCAGGGTGTATTAAATCCTCGGCTATACCTAGATCTCACGCCCCCGCAGGCAGACCCGTATAAGTGGCTTTGCCCAAATGATTGGAGCGATGACTGCGAAGCGTATTTGCCGACTATTCAGTCCCAAATCAAGAAGGATAACTGGACCGTGGCAAGTACTAGTTCGTCGGGTGATAGGTGGAAGGTTAATTACTGTCTCGCTAAAAAGGCGAGACAGTTTTGCAAATTGCAGTACTCTTTCCCATTGACCATAGTCGTTATTACATTCAATCTGGTCAAGTCCGCCATATTGTGTTATATGTGGTTTGGTATAAAAGAAGCCCCCATCCTAACCATCGGTGATGCCATTACCTCCTTCCTACGTCGCCCCGATCCATATACGAAGGGTGGATGTCTCCTTCTCAACCGAGAAGTGGAATCTATGTTTCGGTCTTCATCAGCATCAATCAAAAAGTATCCACTGCATGAACCGAGAAAGTATGTTAGGAAACGAAGACGTTGGGGTAGTGCCGTTTCCACCAGACGATGGGTATTCAGTATATCCTTGTAAGTTGTCCATCTACACCACCGTTCCTATAACGTCTGAGACTCTTAACTAATATATCTTTAGCGGGCTTATAGCTATCCTTGCCTGTATCATCCTTCTCGTATACGGCATCTCCCAAATAAAATCCGGGTCAACCGTCTGGCGAGCAAGCCTAGGCGAAGTAAACCCAAGCACCCTCATAATTGGCGACCACTGGCCCGGCACTCTAATACCAATCGTGATAATTGCTAACATGCCCCAACTCATCTTCTCCTTCCTCTACTTCGCCTTCAACAGTCTCCTAACCGCAATGAATATCGCCGCAGAATGGAGCGGTTACGCCGTCAACCGAAAAGGACTCCGAGTCTCAGGTAGTCCATCCCTCTCGCAACGCAGTAACTATTTCCTCTCATTGCCATATCGCTACGCAATCCCACTCATAGTCGTCTCTGCTCTTTTGCACTGGCTTATCTCACGGAGTCTATTTATTGTGGGAATTGAAGCATACAGTCCAAATATGGAGAGACAGCAGGATAATGACATCCTCACATGTGGATACTCGCCTGTTGCGATTGTCAGCTCCATTGCGGTTGGGAGCTTGATGTTTTTCTGTGTCGTTGGACTAAGTTTCAGGCTGTTTGAGTCGGGCATGCCCGTTGTGGGAAGTTGCAGTTTTACCATTGCCGCGGCGTGTCATCCTGCTTTTGATCCAAATCGTGAAGGCAATGGGGAGGTCGACGAAGGGATGGAATGGGAAAATGAAGACGAGGATATGGCTCTATTACCCGTTCAATGGGGTTCAGTTCCGTTCGTGGGATCGGTGGGACATTGCAGCTTCACGTCCGGGGATGTGGAAGAGCCCCACGGGGAGCAGAAATATCTGTAGAAGGGAGGGTACATGTATAAGTACGTGTATTTCAGGCAAATTCGCGACCAAAATAAAGTTTCCTGTTTCCCCCTTGATGAGTGGCGCCACAGGGGTCTTCTCGCCGAACTCGATATCACTGGGAAAAGTTATCTTTCCCAAATGAACATCGTGCAGATTGTACTGGTTGGGCTCACAGTAGCCAAGCAAAATCGACATTCAGAGGATCTTGTTCCGAGTCTCCCTTGGTGCTCTTTTGGGATCATTACCCATGACCCCGCCGTGCTAGTGGCAAGGACGCTTAATCATTATGCTTTGTCTTCTCCTAGCATACCACCTTCCCCAACACTCGCCAAATAATATCCGAAGACGCGGACCCGTCACGGAGTAAGCGGGTAATTGTTCCAAGCTTAACGTTGTAGAACAAGTGAAAAGAACCGAAATTTACACATAAAAGAGACCAATGGTGGAGCCTGATTCCATTGGTTTGTCAATTAATGAGTGCCCCACGTAGGCGGGTTCCAAAGTTGATCCCCGTTTAAGTTAACTGTGTCCACGGGCCCCGTCCCACTAACCTTGGAAGCCGGTCTGAGGTACAGGTTGCCTTTCTCCTATACCCCTTCCACACGCTGACAGCCTGTCCAGGATTTGCACTTTCCACAATACTAATTAAAGTTCGAGATGTGGCTGCTCTTGAGCTATGTGAAGCCTAATATTCCTAGCAAATGGTATGTTTGTTCGCACGCCTTTATCGCAATTTTGATTAATCAGGCATTCCAACTTTAATACATATTTTCCTGCGCCTTATATAGCGGTGGCATTTGGTGCATCTTCACGATCTATAAAGCCAGTGAGGTCTGGATTATTGCCGGGTGACATCTGGCTCCAGGTTCCATATTCCTAGGCACGCCATTGATTGCCCCTAGAAGAAGTAATCAGAGCTCCCCGGAGGTATATAGTTCACTCCTGGGAGCTGTAGGCCCTCTGGGAGTTCTGATTCCTACTCTGGGAGCAATTATTAGTGTGCCTGGGGATCATGCCATGGATCATGGGGTCGAATATGGTCCTAGGAACGTGAAGGTCCTACTCGTGGAATCTTGAATAGGTAATCAATATCGGATATACAAATTAGAATACAGGCAATGAGTGCGGGAGGCAGAAAGATGAGGTGATCAACTGGCAAAAACTGGATGCAGCATAGTTACGATCATTGATTTTCGCAGAACGGCAATTCGGAAGCAGATCACTCAATACATGCTTTTTAGACCAGTATGCCGCTCAAATCCCACACCTCTTGCCACCGAGTATAACCGATTCGCTTTGGATACCATTAAGCATATCCTAGAGCCGTATTCACCTTCGCCACGTCCCAGTGAAAGGGCCTCAGTTCGACAATCACACCATGGTCAAGGTCGACGGTAATAGCCTGACAGAAAGGGAAATCCATCTCCTTGCCAGTCTTGCGCACCTTAAAGTGGACATTCGACAATACCACGATCCTGTCTGACCCGGGGCACTCAAAGATCTCCGGGTTTTGCACGTCCACAACCTCAAAGTAATCGGCCATGCGGCGCGTCCAGTCTTGCATGCCGTCTGGCCCGACGTAGACACCGGCATATGGCAGAGCGGATGTCTGCTCCATGCGAACGTTGGGAGCTAGAGTAGCGGCGATGCTAGCGTAGTCACGCTCGTCTGGTTTAGCCTGCATGTACTCGCGCTCTGCCTTGTAGAAAGCGTCCAGCACTTCGCGAGCTGTGAACTTTTGCTTGGTTTGCATGGTGGTATTGATGAAAAGCGGTTGTTGTGGTGGTTGTTGGAGAATTGTGATGAGGGTGGTGCAATAGTCAGATGACACTTCGTTGAGGGTGCACAATCATATGGAATAGAATGTGTCGGCACCAATAGAAGGGATATTCAAACATGACTTAAATATCCCTTCCTCGGGATCTTCGGGTGCGTTCCGGCATCAAACGATGATGCTATCCATATTTCCGCCTCGCGCCCCATTCACATTAATCCATTGCCGTTGCAAAATAAAATTGGATCCCAGGGACCCCACGACGCCCATCAGCTGGCCGTGCACTTTCTGAGATAAAAGTTAACTCAACATCGACCTACGGGATTGATAACAATGAGGGCTTCGCAATCGGCTATCCAAGAATCGCTGCGGTCGTACCGAACCACCAGCACCGTGGACCATTTTCAAAGTTTGCGGAACAAGGTGGTGGCAATCACAGTTAAGTATAACTCTGCACAGAACCACAAGCTGTAGCTGATACAACTGCAGGTGGTGGGAATGGTATCGGACTCGCTCTAGTCAAGGCCGTCGTGGAGTTTGGTGGCCATGTTGCAGTCATCGACTATCGTGAGCTGCCTCACCTGGATCTGCGCGAGATCCAAGACTTGCACAAGGAGAGTCGCGTGAAGTATTTCAGGTGTGCTATTCATATGTAGTTGGCATTGGATCTGGTCGACTGTCTCTAACATGGAAATTATTTAACTATACAGTGCCGCATATAATGCATGCGAGCTGCATTGGCAGACATCTCTATCCCTGCCATCCCTAATACTCCATTGCCCATCAGTTGGCTTTGCACTTACTCGATAGCGCGAGACACAAGAACATGAATTCCCTGTCTACCATCGCGAATCAAGATGCCAAGGGGCTACAGGTTGACCACCTCGAAACAGCAGGCATGACTCAGCACCTAGAGAAACCTGTCGAGACTGATCGCATTCCCGAAGCTCTGGGAAGGGAGCAGGCCGAACTGCCTAAAGGGTACTTTTACAGCCCATACTTCATCGGAAGTTACTGGGCATGGATTTTCCTCTTTCGTTCTCTTCTTTCTTGTCTCTGACTGCCATGAACTAGGCCATTGGAGTCGCCTTTGCGTGTGAAACCGGAGGGTATGCGTCGGTAGCGCCGATTCTGACCGACATCAGTGACGACCTCGGAGGTATATCTGCTGGACGTGATTATTCGATAACTTTGGAGCAGTACTGACGAAGAAGGGTGTAGGATCCGGATCGAGCGACATTAACTGGGTCGGAATTGTGTATTCCTTGACCCAGGCGATCGTGCTCATGCTGGCTGGCCGTCTGAGTGACCTGTTTGGCCGCCGCTGGTTCTTCGTTATCGGGTCGATCATCGGGCTGGTGGGCAGTATCGTCGGTGCGAGAGCCGCCTCTATTGGGCAGCTCATCGCAGGTGAAACTCTCATTGGGGTTGCCGCGGGGTTTCAATGCTCTTTCTTCTGGGTCGTGTCCGAGATTGTGCCCATGAAAAGGCGCTTCATTGCCAACGCCGGACTGTTTCTGTGGACCTTGCCAACGGTACGTATCGATCGCGATCGTGTGCAGCAAAACTGGAGTTGTTGACGTCTGCGATTAGAATATCCTCGGACCGAAGATTGCTATCACCATCCAGCATAACACTGCAGTACAATGGCGCGGATGCTTCTACTACCTGATTGGTTTGAACGCTCTGTCGGTAGCGCTGTGGTTCTTCTTCTACCACCCGCCATCATTCCACATGCTACACCGCCACAAAACTGTCAAACAGATGCTTCGCGAGTTTGACTTCGTTGGTCTTGTATTGTTTTCCGCCGGCATGACCCTCTTCCTAATTGGGTTAAACTGGGGTGGCGTAAGTGCACGGCTCTGCCATAAAATTTAGTGTGATCACTAACAAGGATAAAAGTCGATCTATCCTTGGAAGAGCGGACAGGTTTTGGGAACCCTTCTCTCCGGGGTCGTCATTCTCGCCATCTGTATAGCTTACGAGTTGAAATCCTCAATGAAAGAACCCTACCTTCCGATTCAATTCTTCAAAAACGTCAAGTACACTTCCTGCGTGGTATGGTGTGCAATTGAAGCCATGAACTTTTACGCCTTTGGGTACGTGCCAACCCCCTTTAAGCATGATGGAGACTCATCCTAAGATATATCAGCATTATCTGGCCCAGAGCCGTCGCCATCCTTTACCCCGGTCTTAGTCAATCGAGTACCGCGACCATGTCGGGGCTGGTAACCATGTCATTTGCGCTAGGTCAGATGGCGGGTCCCTTTTTCGCAAACTGGCTACCAGCCAAACCACTAGTCATCGTGGGCACATTCATCGGCACTGGGCTGCTCGCAGCCTGCGCAGCCAACCCCCTGAACCTAGACTTAACGGTGGGCGTACTCGTCACGGGTAACCTCGTGATTGGCATGGCGGATGGAATTGGTCTGCCCATGACGACTTTCCCAATTAAAAACCAGGAAGCATTGGGCACCGCCGGCGGGTTGAGTGGATGTATTCGGCTAGCGGGCACCTCCGTTGCTGTAGCAATGTATAATACTATCCTGAACAATCGCCTGTTGCAGACGGTTCCCGCCGCCGTCGCTCCAGTGGCGCTGTCGGCAGGCGTGCCCGAATCCTTCATCCCCCAGCTCATCACAAACTTGACAAGAGGCAACCTGGGAGCGTTGAAAGGCGGGACCGTTCCCGGTCTGACTGCCGGGGGCATCCCGCTGATTGAAGCTGCATATCGACTAGGAAACTCTCAGGCGTACAGTACCGTCTTTCTCTCCACGTTGGGCTTCGGCGGTGTGGCGCTGATTCTGTGCTTTTTCATCGGTGGTGTCGATGAGAGCAATGGGGAATACGTCGCAGCCCTCATTCAACATGGGGATGGAAGCGACCCACAGACGGAAAAAGTGTAGCTGTATCTTTTTTCTCGTTGATTGCATATATCTTGGGAGGGCCCTATTGTCGGGATTGTTTTAGGCATATGTTTTGGAGGTCACATTTGGAGGTAGTTTATAGTCGGAACGTCTAAACGATCCTAAGCGGATCGGGGAGCGGTGAATGATTAAGTAGCTTGAATCTAGTATATTCATGAGCATTACTTATATCAATATTTGAATTTCGAATAATAGCTTAGTCCATAGAAATTGTAGGAGTCGGAAAAAGTGATGACTGGTGGGACCAACTCGCACCACCCACGTGCCTGTCTCAGGGAACCGCTAAGGACAAAATGACCGTTGCTAATAATCCGAACTGCTAGGATAAAACCGGGTTGAAGAATCCGAGCGGGTCTAAACGGGTAAAAAAAAGCCCCGATATTGGCAAGCTAAGACAACTCGGAGAGGAGCCGAGGACTTCTTTTAACCTTAGGGTTCCACCTTCTTAAAAGCGTTGAATCGAAGAGAGTCAAATTCACCGATGTTGCTCCGAATTGGAGTCGATACGCAACGCTAGACTCCTTTCGGCATATCCCCCCGATCTGGACCATCTTATCTGATGAGATGGAGCGAATCATGAGCTTCGGGCCTTTCCACCACGATCAGCTCACAGAAGTCCACTCTCGTTAGACTTTTATCAATCTCCGAGGTCCATAAATACGAAGGGCATGGAACTATTTTTTGAGTTCGCCGAAAGTTTTTATTTTTTTTTTTTCTGACAGCGCGAGCTTGCTATATAATTCTAGTATCGGGTTGCGATCATGGCAGTAGACACTTCGGACTCGAAGTCTGTGGACATGGTGTTGGCGCCTGTCTGTGAAGACATTAAGACTCCATTGGAAGAACCTAGCGATGACTCCGATGGAAGGAAGCCACCGCCGCTTGCAGCAAAGCTATGTGCTGTCGCGCTGATATCGTGTATTAGCTTTGGCTCGCACTGGAGTTCTGGTGTGACGGGTGCTATGAAGAGCACGATAAAAAAGGTACTGAATGCTATGGAAACGCCGATCTGCAGGATTCACTGACGGGATTTCTTGGCAGAAAATGCAGATAGACAATGTTCAATTTTCGCTTTTGGAAGCCAGCGAGGATTTCATGGCAACGGTTCTGCTTTTAATAAGTGGTGTGATCACCGACCGAGTCGGCGGAGCTCGTATGTGGCCCAGTCTGTGGAATCAGCGAGAGGTATGCTGACCAGTGCTTTTTAATAGAGATGATCGTTTACGGAAATATCGTCTATACCATCGGTTCCATCCTGGTCGCTGCAGCCGCGACCGTGCGCTCTTTCAACTTCATGATTGGAGGTCGAGTCATTCTCGCGCTCGGCGACATCGCCACACAAATCGCTCAGTATAAAATGTTTTCCTCTTGGTTTCCTCCTAGCAATGGATTCGCATCCACTCTAGGCTTTGAGCTCGCCATCGGCAAGATTGGGGGATTTGTTGGCAAGTCGACGGCCAATATCATTGCAAAGGTAATTGCTTTTCGCGCGTTTGACTTGGTTAGGCCGTTGCTGACAGGAACGTAGAAAACTGGAAACTTTGCGTGGGTCTTTTGGACCGCAGTGTTCATGAATTTATTCACGAATGCGGCCAGCGCAGCATTCTGGTTCTTCAATATATATTGTAATCGCCATTACAAGGGACGACGCGATGCAGCTACAAAAGAACAACTGACCGAGAAAAACAAAAAGTTCGAATTCAAAAAGATGTTCGAGTTGCCTTGGACGTTCTGGGCTGTCATGGCCTTCTCTATATTTCAAACGAGTGCTGCGTCAGTCTTCAGTCAAAATGCCACCGAACTGGCCGAGAAGAGATTCAATGTCGATTCCATCAAAGCCGGGTGGTATAGTTCTCTTTCGCAGTATGCAGGTACGATATTCCTGGAATGCACGGTCACGTTGGCTGAATATAAGCTGACATTAGCCAGGCTTCTTCCTTGTTCCCTGCCTGGGCGTGTTCATCGATGTTCTCGGCAACCGAGCATCTGTCTGTGAGTTTTATCATGAATATCTAAAGCAAGCCTAATACTTACCTCCCAGTGTTTACCTGCGGTCTCGGCATGCTGTTGAGTATGGTTCTCATTAATTTTGCAACATCACACGCAGGAACAGGAGCTGCATTCGGCATCTACGGCATTGCCGTGTCCTTCGGACCAACCTCGGTCATCGACAGCATTCGCACCACGCTCTGGCACCAATCGGTCTTTGGATCTGCGTATGCATTGAAGGTCACCATGAATAACGCGTAAGTTTGATCCCAACCTCCTGCCTCGAGATTGCGTTCTGGGACAGAGAATTTGACATTGGAAACCGGTAATAGTATGAGCATTATAATTCGGATCATCACGGGAGCTTTGCAGGATGCGGATGACAATTCGTACCGCCGGGTGGTGCAGGTCTATTTAGTTCTTGGTGTCGGTGCTACGGTTGTCGGTGCGGCCATCCTGATCGGCTCGTTTGTGACTGATAACCTGGCGCCACTACAGTGGACTCGGCATAAACGGATGACGTCGGGTGCAGCTATCATCGAGCGCATTCGGGAGCGCAATTTGGTAACCAAGCAGCGGCGCACTCGGACCATCTCCATATTTTGTTTTGGGGCTCTAATTCTGTTGACACTTGGGTCGTGGGTGGCGTATATCTGGGGTGCAGTGACTGGTCATAATTCCTAGTCCGGTATAAAGTTTGCAAGAGCTGTTAAATACAACATATGATGTTGTGAGGCTTTGATCATCTTATGTGGTCAGGCCCATGACGGAAGAGAAGATCGCTTTCGATAGCTGCCATAGGCAGTCGAGTAGAGATTGCCTATATTGTATAGCTGCTTCATGTATTCGCCACTGTCGTCATAGGGCTTGCGGCGCCCTGGCACAAATGACGTACGGTTGCCGTCGACGGCATCGGCATGCATGTGAAGTCCTGATCAACAGTAGCGAGGCTTCTGAGACACTATGGTTCAAATTACGAAGCATGAAGCAAGGAAAAAACGTCTGTAACTTGTAGTGGTAGACCGATCGTGAAAATTCATTGGCCCACTTGGCTTTGATCGGGATGCCTGATCTTCATGGCAAATAATGTCGCCTGAGGCCATCGGCCAATGATCTGCAGCCTCAGAACGCCACGGCACCACCTCACAGCCACTGAAACCGACTCACCTCCACATCTTGTCCACACTGGTGCTTCCCACTGGACGCCCCTGGTACCGTTCACTCTATCGTCCTCCAGTCAATATGTCGGTCCAGGGACAGTTTCGCCATCCTGGTGTGCCGATCCCAAGATGCTATAAAATCCCACGAGAGAGGCGATGAAGCGGTGGAGCAGGTGTACTCCATACTCAACTCTCAATGTGCACTGAGCGCTGGTTCCCACTAATCATGTTCTATGCATTTCTCCCCTCAATGGTCTGCCTCGCTAACGCCCTTCCATATTGTCCCTTGACGGATGGGTCCTTGGCTGTGCTAGCCGGATTTCTTACTCAGTCTTCCCTGGAAACATATCTCCGCTTCACCTGACTCGCTCTTCTGTTGTGGAGAGTCGTATCTAAGTCAAGAAATCCCACTTTCCTTCCAATTGCCCAATAATTCGTGACTAATCCAGTTACCCTGTCGCTCCAACAATTTCTCACCTGTTTGATCACTTCTTTTATGCATTTCGACCTCCGTCGACCCTCACCACCCTGCCTCGGCCATTACCGGGGTGATAGCTTCGTCGATCTCGAAATTTGGAGTCGGAGGATGCAGCACTGTATTCTCATTCTCTTAACGATAGCGGCAAACCATGAATGTTCCTAGGAGAGGCCAAGATGGCCTACACAACGCAGATCGCAGGGCGAGGGAGCTATACCGCTACTACCAGCCTGCTTCCCAATCCGAGGTGGTTCCATCTTGGCTTCCAGCGAACGACGGATTCCCCTTCTCTGCAATTTCAGGAAATATAATCACCCCACCGATCTCCGAAGGCTCAATGCCTTCACACGGTGGTGCACCTTTCCGACCAGCGACCGCAATTGGCTCCGAAGCTCTCGTTCTCGGTACCTCAAACAGTACCATGACGTCATTTGCCCAGCTAGCGGCGTTGCGCTTGAATGTCGAGCGGGTGTTTATCTCTGTATTGGACCGTGATCAACAACACATCATTGCCGAGGCTACAAAATCTCTTAATTTGAACGATCCGTCCATCTACGATGACAATGACAATGTCTGGTTGGGGGCACCCGACACCCGCAAGACATGGAGTGTGTGCAAGGTAAGCTTTGCTCATTCGACGAGCTGGCTGACCCGGAGCCTTCGTCGAACAAGATCGCATTGTTCATTTCTATGACTCCTGGATTTTGACGGCATTCGGCAGGACACTGTTTCACTACCCCCCAACGACCGCGAAAATGCGGACTATAAATTTCTAGTCGTGAACGACATGACCGAAAACGAGCGCTACAAACATCTTTCCTTCGTTGAAAAGGAACCCAACTTCCGCTTTTTCGCTGGGACTCCGTTAACAACCGAGAAGAATATCAATTTGGGTTGTTTTTTCGTGTTGGACACAAAGCCCCGAGATGGATTGACACCGCTGGAGAAGGATACACTGGGATCCATAGCGATGCTTGTGATGGACTACTTGAGAGTTTGCAGACAGGCTTCCGAAGGACGCCGGGCCGCGCGCCTTTCCCGCGGGCTCAGCTGTTTCGTTGAAGGGAGCTCTAGTTTTGTGGATAATATCGATCCATCGCGCACCGACAGTGTCGGCCCTCTATCAGCAACTCCGTCATCTCCCTACAATCCACTGAGTGCCTCAGGTCGCTCTCATGGAAACGGCTCGGACAACGCATCGGAAGCGCCATCCAATAGTCCACCAAATGACCGGTCACTCAGTAACGACGCGCGTTCTTTTAGCTCTGTCCCATCCGATCTGAAAATGGATTACGATTCGAAATTGGACAGTGGTTCAAAAGTTGAATCGGGCACGGTAGAGAGCTCTCTGCCAGAATGGCTGACAAGCAGCAGCCGAAATCGACTGCCACCCGATGATTCACAAGGCAACTCTTGGTGCTTCCGCAGGGCAGCCAACTTACTTCGCGAGAGTCTTGACCTGAGTGGCGACAGTGGAGTCATTTTCCTGCAAGCTAACAATAGCCCTTTGGTGGATGCGGATATGGGGAGTGATTGTTCCGAGACAGGCGGTCCTGCCTCTGTTCTGTCGGCGTCAACAAATGAAGAACCGTTTGCTCCTCAGGCAGGCTCGATGGCCACATGCGCTGCGGCCAACTTGGACCGATCCTTCCTGCACTTGTTGCTTCGACGCTATCCCAAAGGAAAGCTATGGTCTTTCCAGCGCGATGGGCTCATCTCGACATCAGATGATGATGACAAAGAACCCCAAGACAAAGCCCCTCTTGGCACCAGTGCCACCAGTCGATCCCCACCTAGTCCTGCACAACCTTCAAAGCCCACACGAAAACGGCGGAAAGCTGCGGAGAACTCAGTACTCAACCAGTATTTTCCTCGTGCGGCGCAAATTATCTTTGTGCCTTTGTGGGATGCTGTTTCTTCACAATGGTTCGGAGGGTGTTTCTGCTGGAGCACAATTGAGACCCAGGTGTTTAGCACCTCAGTCGAGCTCAGTTCAGTGCTTGGGTTTGCATCGTCCATTATGACCGAATATAGTCGCGTTGAATCCCTCATCGCGGATCGCCAGAAAGGTGATTTCATTGGGAGTATCTCGTGAGTTCGTCTCGGTCTCTGGCGGACATTCGACATACCCAAACGCAGTTACTAACTAATATTTTTTACTAGACATGAACTCCGTAGCCCTCTTCATGGCATCTTGGCCGCTGCTGAGTTTTTGAAGAGCACTCATCTCAACGAATTCCAGGACTCATTGCTTGAGACTGTCAATTCCTGTGGCCGGACGTTACTGGATACAATGAACCAGGTACTTGACTTCAGCAAAGTGGTATCTTTAGAACGGACATGGCGGTCAATGAAACGCAAGAAAGAGTCACCCCTCGATTTCAAAGGATCAGACAAGCTGCCGCATCATCTGGATACGCTCGTGGCTACGGATGTGGCCATTCTGGCCGAGGAAGTCGTTGAAGGCATCTGTCTTGGCAATGTGTACGGCCAGAGCTCCACGGCTTTAGCTGACCTGCCTGTATTGATGCCACACCAAACAAAGCCGCAGAATCAGCGGTCCAACGTCGAAGTTGTTATCGACGTTTCATTCCGGGATTGGGTCTACCGGACTCAGCCAGGCGCTTTGCGGCGCATCATTATGAATATTTTTGGAAATGCCATGAAATACACAGAGTCTGGCCGTGTCACTTTATCCTTGGCAGCATATAGCCAGTCTGAAGGACGATCTCGGAGGCAAGGCCTCGAAGACTTGGTCACGCTGACAGTAACCGACACAGGGAAAGGTATATCGGAAGAGTTTTTGCGCGGCAAGCTTTACACGCCCTTTGCTCAGGAAGATGCCCTGGCTGTCGGTACTGGATTGGGGTTGTCAATTGTTCGCAGTTTGGTCAAGGCTCTGAATGGAAGCATTCGAATTCGCAGCCGCCCTGGGGAGGGTACGGTCGTATATGTATCCCTCCCCCTAGAGCGGCCTGTTGGCAAGGAAAGCCCAGCAGTGGAACCGTCTGGACAGCTTATGCAACAGAGAGAGACCTTGACCCAAACTCTTCTACTACGCGAGGGATACCCTGGTAGGCGGGCCTCCATCTGGGGCGTCGACCCAACCAACCTGACCGCCGACTCTAACTGGTCTGAAATTGCTCGATACCTTTCAGAGTGGTATGATATAGAGATCGTCTCATGGGCACCGGAAGCCCATATTGATCTTGTGCTTATGGATGAAGACGACTTACCAAACTTATGCACCATCGCACCCTCCGCCACTTTGCCTGCTCTTCTCGTCCTATGCCACAAGTCGGTGGATTACACCGGGGCAAAATCGGAGTGGTTGCCTCTAGCTTCCTCCGTGGACATCATCCGTCGCCCCTGTGGGCCACACAAATTAGCTCGAAGTGTAATGAGGTGTCTGACCCACGGCCAATCGATATCGCCGGCTTCCGCTTTGCAACCACTGAATCTGGCGCTCATGACATCCTCGTTGCCATCTGAACTCGCCTCGCCCCCCATATCCCCTACCGATGCTATTAGCACACCCGAGCCGGACGGTCCCGGAATCCGCCCCATGACGATATCACCACTGCAGCAACCGTCACCAACGACGACATTGCCGGAGTACAAAATCGCAGAAGCACCTTTACCGGCACCACTGGTAGAGGGTGCAAATCGCTCTCGGCGACTGGCACGAGTGCTTGTGGTTGATGACAATCACATAAATCTCAACCTCATGATGACGTTCCTCAAAAGGCGCCAGCTAACTGAGCTGGACTCAGCTGAGAATGGCAAATTGGCAGTTGAAGCGGCCGAGCGTATGCAGAGTGGTTATGATATCATCTTCATGGATATGTCGATGCCTGTCATGAATGGTTTCGAGGCTACCCGTGCTATTCGGTCGCTGGAGAGGGATACAGATGGCCGTAAGCCGGCTATCGTCATTGCCTTGACTGGACTCAGCAGCTCTCGAGATGAGTCGGATGCTATGGCTTCCGGTGTGGATCTATTCCTCACCAAACCAGTCTCTTTCAGAGAAGTAGCACGTCTACTAGATGAGTGGGAAAGGGATGAGATGGTAACAGAACGGAAGCTGGCATGTTGAAGCAGCATGCTTTTGTTCATTTCGATCTGGCGTGCAAGCTTGTTTCTGAAATCCTTGTTTCCGTCTATTTGTTGCGATCCATCGCCTTATCCCTTAGAGTCTCTTCTCTTGACCTATCCCCTGCTCCTTTCTTCTCCACACCTTAGCAAATCGCACACGACATGTACCCCTTTTTCCGTTCTGCTTTTCTACCCATGATATTCTGATATCAATCCGTTGTTGACCTGAACAGGTGATCGGCCTTGATCATGTTTATAACATTATCAATGCTATCATATCAGACAATGGATGTGATCATATTTGGATATTTTTCTCTCACTCTCTGTCTTGGGCTCTCACCCATGTTTCGATTTCCACACACATCACACCCACACACATTGTAACAGCTCCCATTTTTTGAACTATTTATGATCCATACTGCATTGTGCCAGGCCAATGCTTGATACACGGGAAGCGACGGCTGGAGTTGGTATACCTTGTTCTTATATTTTGCTTTTGCTTCTTCTCTCTTCTCTTGTTTCGCTTTTTGCTTATTGCATTGCCTCACATTCCACGACGTGCAACGATCCGCCCACCCGGTGGTACATGCGTGTCTTTCAATGTTCTTTTCGGGTTGTATTTTGGAACCCACACAGACATAGATATATATCTGTTACTTCAGGTGGCGCTGGATAGTTCCGCTGACCTTGGTATATTCGATTTGGGATGAGGGCAAGACGGCACGACGGCATAGAAACCATGATCACATTCGGTTCTAACATGAGAATTCAATATAGTTATATACTTCTCAGTAATCTACGTATCTCGTGCTTGGTGTCGTCCCAACAGCCACAATCGGCGCTCGTCCGGTTTAGATAACTAGCGCGTGCGCTGGATCGGCGTGCTTGACTCTTACGTAGTTCTTCACATGCTCCGGCACTAGCAGTGCACGCAGGCCCCTATCGTCTTCGAAGGATCTGAGACTCTCAGTTATCGGTGATCGACTTTGGCGACGGGCTTGCAATCGCCAAGGTTTCTGCATTGGGGAGAGCGTGAGTAGAAGGATCAGCTGACGAGACAATTGTCAGTATATACCGAAGGAATACAAATTAAAGGCATGGACATACCTGTGTATCGTTGAGTAGTCGGCGGTTTACTCCGCAGTGTATGATGCAGTCAAGTTGAGGCTGTAAAGGCGATTGGCGTTATAGAACAGAAGATCGGCGGCTATCTGCATAGCCTGGGACGTAGTGAAGTCGTCATGTTGAACATAATCCACGAGTACCTGCAAGACCGAAGAAAATGAGCACCAGGAAAGGCAATTAATAGAAAAAGTAGGCTTGCAACTAACCGTCTCGAGAGCTTGGCGGAACTGTCGATTAGCCAACCAGAACGATTCCGGGTGAAACCGGCCATCAGTACTCCAGAGCAGACGATTGGTAGGCGCGACCTCCAGACTTTCTCTCAGGATCTTCACCTGCGCCTCTCGGCTAGCCATGGGAAAGACCTTCCCGAGATCAAGATATACATTGGGATAAGCAGACGCCAGATAACCCGCCTCACGGGTGTAAGGGTACCCAGAGTGTAATAGCACGATGTCTGCGTCAGCATACTGTGCGATCAAAGGCTGCAGACATGCAGGGTTAGCTTGCAAAAGATTGATCCGACTATCGCCCAAGCCGGTGTGAAATAGCAAAGGTTTCACGACACCGGCTTTCTTCCTAAACGAGATCGCTTTCAGTGTCTGCTGGACTATCCAGTCACAGATCTCCTTATCATCGACCGCGAAGCCGGCCTTGGTTGTGCCAGAATCGAGGATCCGAATCAATGACCCGCCTAGGGTGGTATCATCAGAGGAATATGGGTCCACGTCCAATCCGGTCCGACAGCAAATTTCCGATACAAAGCCAACGATGTTGGAATCGTCCATGGAGGTGCCGAGAGCGTCTTGGAACAGCTGTCGGAAATTGTTCCAGACTGGTTCGCCGTTCTTGCGCGAGTTCGATACCTGCAGGATTGTGGACTCGGCCATGGCTTCGATATGCACGATCCGCTTCGTCGCTGAAACCGTGAATCTGTCGTGCCAGCTGGACAATTCGATGTCTTCGTCGTCGCTGAAATAATCGTCGAGTAACAGGGCGTGCGTGCCTGATAGAGACTTTTGGATCAAGGCGGAGTAGTCTTCGCGCGAGCTTTGATCGTGGGCGGATTGGATGTCGTTCCAGTCTGCGCACGGGCGGCCGTATAGCTCAGAGAGTTGGGCTGTCGCCCGCAGCGAGGGGAGGCTTGTGCGGGCATTTTCTAGGGCGCGACCGTCTGCCGAGGAGGTGATGGCCGCTAATGGGTAATTGTGGTGGTCGGTGGCGGACTCGCAGTTCAATAGATTGTGGGCATGGTGGTCGATAAGTGGGTGAAACTGAATCAGATGTCGTAGCGGAGTAAGGTCGTCCATGTCGAGAATATTAGGAGTTGAGGAGTTTGCAGTGAGGAAAATCTGATATTGAAAAGATCTCCCCAGATTGTATTCAGCCAATCACAATCAAGGAATACAATATTTATAAGTTTCATTTCAATTTGGTCGAAATGATGTTCTGTACACTACATATGTACGATGTACTCAATATTGTCCCTCAATGGTCAAAGTGCCTGTTTTGGTAACCAAGTACTCATTGACAGCCACGTCCTTCCCACTCTCCTTGCCATAACCAGACTCCTTAAGACCACCGAAAGGCGACTCGGCCGCCGATGAGTTGCCTGTACGAATTGGTTAAACTGATTATACATATTATTCTTAGAAAACTCACCTGTATTCATTCCAATCATTCCCGCCTCCAAGTTCTCCAAGAGACGCCACATGCGATCGATATTCTTGGTGAAAGCATAGCTGGCCAGACCCATGCTGGTATCATTAGCCAGCTTGACAGCCTGATCCTCAGTCTCGAACCTGTACAGCGCAGCAATAGGCGCAAACGATTCTTCCTGCGAGATGAGCATCTCCTCCGTCATTCCCGACAGAATAGTAGGCTCGAAGAAATAACCTGGCTGCGACGTCAGAGCCTTACCACCCAAGATAACATCAGCGCCCAGCCGACGAGCATCCTCAACCTGCGCAGAGGCCTTGTCAATACTCCGAGGCGTCGTCAACGGTCCCATCGTGGTACCAGCCACCGCACCATGACCAACAACTATCGCAGCAGTGCGCTCCTTCAGAAGAGCAGCGAAGTGATCATAAACCCCAGCCTGGACGTAGATGCGGTTCGCAGTAATACAAGCCTGACCCGCATGACGCCATTTCAGCGACATCAGCTGCTCAACCGCCTGGTCGAGGTTCGCATCGTCGAAAACAAGGAAAGGACAATTCCCACCGAGCTCGAGAGTCAATTTCTTAAGACCATGCGCACAGTGCGAAGCCACCAACTTACCCACCCGTGTGGAGCCCGTGAACGTCACTTTCTTAACGAGTGGGTGTTTACACAACGCCTCGCTCAGCGCCGGGGTATTCTCCAAGTCCGTAGTGAGCACATTCAGCACACCAGCAGGGATACCAGCGCGATGGGCCAGTTCCGCCAGCACGAGCGCCGAAATCGGCGTTTCGGGACTGGGCTTGACAACCATCGTGCAGCCAGCCGCTAGCGCGGCGCCAACTTTCCGTAAAACCATAGCAACGGGGAAGTTCCATGGGACGAGGGCGGCTGCTACGCCGATCGGCTGCTTGATGGTGAATATGCGGCGGTTCGGTGCCGCAGCTGTTGACACGCTGCCCTGTACGCGCTCTGCTTCTCCGGCGAACCACCATAGGAAGCCGAGGGAGTAGTCGATCTCGCCGTATGCTTCTGCTAGCGGCTTGCCGGTTTCGTGGGTTACGATCTGGGCGAGATCGTCGCGGGCCGCTAGGGTCAGGTTGTGCCATTCTAGTAGCCACTTGGCGCGTTGGCGAGGGTTGACTTTGCGGAATTGCTCGAAGGCTGCATGTGAGTTTTCCACGGCGGCGGATACATCTTCTGCTGCGTTGGCGGGGCAGCTGGCCCAGGCTTTGTCGGTGCCCGGGTCTGAGTGGAGGATATGTTAGCTGTGATCTCTGGAGGATAATGCATTTTCACTTACCGAGTACCTCAAACCGCTTTCCGCTCTTTGCGCCGACCCATTTGTCGCCGATGATGGAGTCGAATTTCAGTAGACTGGGGTCTGCTAGCTGCGGAAAATGGCGTTAGCGTTGGCTCAACACTTCGGACATCTCGCCGAATACCCCGCGGAGGGGTAGAAGGATGGAAGCAATACCTTGAATGGTAGCTGGTACTGAGTCATATTGATCAATCAAGATGAAATGAATATCTGATCAAGGTATATTTACTAAATTGACCAAGTGTTTATAAGGAGAGGGGAAACATACCTTAAGTATGCAGATGACCCCTCATATCCCCATTTCGGGTGGATCCTCGGTCCGTTTTGATATCCTTCTTCTTCAAGTAGGCTATAAGATACATACGTAGGTGTAGGTATCTTCATAAATCGTATCTCTATAATGTAATTAAATCATACTATCAACGCTAGCCGGTCTGCCCTCTTGCGACCGACCATCCACTCTGGGCTCCATACTATACCCGACCGAGATATTAGTTGTCTTCATAGTCCCCTTATCATCACCACTACTCAAACTGGAACTATCCCCACACTTATACTTCCGCATATCAAAATCGCCAACAATATCAACATGTGGCCCGCCCAGCGGATCCGCCATCTCGTAATCAGCACCGCGGGCGGAGTATACTGATGGCTGGGCGTGTGAAGCGGACTTGAACATATTGGAGCGGAGTCTGCGTGACCCAACGCCCGTGCCGGAGCCGGTGCCGGCGCCGTAATTGGATTTCCCGCGCGAGCTGTCCAGGAGTCTGGGGAGGAACCTGCTGCTGATGACTTTCAGGGATGGACCACAGGCTGTTACCACGGCGACGTTGACTTCGATTGCGGAGCTGCAGAATCCGATTGCGTACGTTGGGTCTGGGCCTGGGGTGTGGGAGAGGAATCCTTGGGCGAGGATTACGATGCGCCAGACCCCGACGGCGGTTGCTCTGGGTTGGTCGTTAGATATGTGTGCGTGCGTGTGTGTGGTGGGTTGGAGTCGGTTTTGGTTTTGCGGATTTACTTACACTCCACCCAGACATAGGATGATACACACTGCGAGCTTGCGTTGCAGGGGCATTTGAAGTCGCGCGGTGATTATGATCGGGATTGAGAGGACCATCACATCAGTGAAAAGGTTCAGCGCTGCCGTCGAGACGAAGAATGCGCCTTGGTCGATGCATTTTCCGCCAGGGATCGTCGTGTCGTAGACGTATTCTACTGGCTGGCACTGGAAAATGTCGACGAAGAGGACGGTGATGAAAAGGGTGATTACCACGGCGAAGGAGCTCCAGATGAGGTATTTGACCACCTGTGAGCGTGAATCAAGTCGTCGCAGGAATATCAAGATCAGAGTTTTACCACGGTCAAGGCTGGATTGTAGAGGAGCTGATTGGCGAAGTTCCACTGTTTATCCGTGTGAGTCTCTCTGGCCTATGATGGGAGGTGTGTAGTAAGACTTACGTTCAGCCCAGATCTGGGATTGTAATTTTTGGGGAGGTCCCAAATGTGAATGCCGACATAGTTGGTTTTAATGACTGGTTTTTGCGAATTAGCAGCTGTAACTCTGTGCTTCTTAACCGAGTCACTTACAGTACCACGAGGTAATAGATTGGGAGATGGCGATGATCTAGAAGAACGCACGTTTAACATACACTCTTAGAAGATCTGGAGACCTCAGGGTCTTACATATCCCACGACAATTAAGTAGTCATCTATAAGGACGTCTCGTTAGCAGCAACTTCAAACAGTTCAAGTCCAGTGCCGATCTGGGGTCATACCACTCGTCAGCGCCGATCGTGATAGCCGTCGGCTCCAGACCCGAAGTAGAACTGCAATGCCGCCGAGAATCGTGAATGCGACCACGATACCTAGGGCGGCCTTTTGACGATGGTCGTCAATCATGGTGCACTGCCCTCACAAGTGCGCAAGGGTTCTCAAAATCGAACAGCCTGCGACCTCGATCTTAAAATATGCAGGGTTGGTATCGTGGCCAACACGGCGAGTCACGATCGGCAGCAATGGTCCACTTCTTTGGCTTTAGTTCTTTGGAGTCCGAGGGCCATTTCAAGGGCTTCTGAACACATTAACACATTAGTTGAACCAATTTAGATCTCCGCGTCCGTGTCTCAATTAGTGCTATATCCGTTCATGCCGGTAATTAAGGGGCGAACCGATAACGAATGGCGTACAAGGGTCCACGCGTCCATTTAGATTGAAGTGGTATTCTTCTCGGCCCCAATCCTATGTGGTAGGCAGAATTCAGTTTGTTTCTCAGCTCGCCGTCACTCTGAACCATGGATCGTTGCATTATACGTTCAATGTAGGTTTCAAATCCCAGCCTCCGATGAATCATCAGTAACACGGAGCAATATTCGGCCATTAGCTAGTGCAGGTGTTCGCAGAGAACAGTTATCTCTCGCATACTACTGGAGAACTTAGTCGTTCTTGCAGCGTTACATCCTGCAGCTCATCCTTGTAAGGGGCGTAAAACTGCGAGCTCATGAGAACCCCAACCATTATACACTCATACCAGTATTGCGCCGTGGATGAGCGCACAGTTTCACTAATAGTAAAAAAATGTGCCTGAGGGTGGAGTTCATCAAGGATCAAATCTCGGCGACACCGTGGATGAGTGCATAAGATCGAGAGCTCGCTATCTCGGATATAATATTCGGCCCCACAATGAAGTTGTCTCTGCTTCATCGGTTAACAAATCTTCATTGGGTTTCTTGTCCTCATTCATGGCAAATTTAGATGAAGTGCAACATTCTCCTAGTCCCTTGCGATGCGGGTTTCTCATTGCCCAGAAAGCAGATCGGATCTACTTGAGTGGAGCATAGTAGATCATGGACAATGGAGAATAGAGTCGGTCAGACCGAATGATGCCATGATCAGAGGCAAGCCCAGAAGAAAGATCGTGCTCGTGTGTATGGAGTAGCGCTTGTTTATGTCGTCCTTGCGTGGTCCTTGCAGCACTCTCCCAACCGTGGAGAGAACGTTGAGAATCCTGATCATTCCGACCGGTAGATTGGGAATAGTCACAGCGGCCTGCTCCATGAGGAGTACTAAATGGAAAGACTAATGGTGATAATCTCGGTTGGAGCAATATATTCTCCATAACACACATCGTGCGTCACAGATAAAGTGTGGTTTGGAAAGTTCCACCGGAGATCCGGAGAAAACGCCCCATCTGGCTCTAGCCTCACCTTTTTATTGTCGTTGGAAGAGACGCACGAGAGTGGAGTGGGAGAAGGCTTGGAGATATTGTAAATTGCAGTGGGGGCGAGCTAACAAGCGGGTTTCGCTTTCGGATGTCAACCTCATGGTTTAGCCGAAGAATTGCCCACGTTGTACACCATACATGGTGCTTTATACACCTTGAGCTGACGACGCTGTCGGAGATTTGGTTTTTAAAGTCTCCATTGGCCACTCTTCTCAATCTTGTCGATCTCGGGTGTAGCTTCTTCCCTTTCACGCGCTCACCATGGCCCCTTGTTCGTTCATGACTGGCATTTTGCTCGGTGCTCTCCTGCTAGTAACGCCCGGAGATGCCCTTGTTGGACAGATTTTATCTGCCTCTGTAGCTGGTGCACCGCTATTTGATAGCGAAAAGTTCCAATTGACAGATCTTGACATTGCGAAGCTCAGCCAACGCCAGTCAGCCCTGGTTAAATTTGGGTGCGGTGGCACTAACAAGACCACGCGGCCTATAGGGAAATGCAAGGTTTTCCCTGGTGACCGCCAATGGCCATCGCAGTCTGCATGGTCGGCCTTGGATAACCTCCTAGATGGCGCGCTCATCAAGACAGTCCCCCTAGCGGCGTCTTGCTATTCTTCGTGGCCCCAATACGACAGCGACGAATGCGAGAGAATCAGCTCGCAGTGGACAGATTCTCATCTACAGTTAGTTTCACACAATGTATGAAACATAGACATTGTATACTGACTCCACGATTAGTGCTGCTGACCCGGCGTCGGCAATGTGGCCTCTGTTCGAGGGAAGAAGCTGCCTCCCCACTACCAATGCCTCTGCATCTTGCACAGTGGGTGGCTACAGTAGCTATGCTGTGAATGTGAGCAATGTGGCCCAAATCCAGCTTACTGTCAATTTTGCACGCAACACGGATATCCGTCTGGTGGTTAAGAACACCGGCCATGACTTCAATGGAAAATCAACCGGTGCTGGTGCCTTGGGTATCTGGACCCACAACCTCAAGGACATTGAATACTACGAGAATTATCGTGGCTGGGGCTACCAGGGTCCAGCTATCAAGATTGGGGCAGGTGTGCAGGCCTTTGAGGTCTATGCAAAGGGCCAGGAACTTGGATTCACTGCCGTTGGTGGCGAGGGCAAGGTAGGCTGATCATCCACAAACATCATTATTCTGGCAAAATAATTGACTCTACTAGACTGTGGGTGTTGCCGGTGGCTACGTTCTCGGCGGCGGCCACTCGCCAATGTCCAGCTTGTACGGCCTAGCTGCTGACCAAGTTTTGGCTCTTGAGGTCGTGCTGGCCAACGGACGCTTCGTCACAGTAACTGAAGAAAGTGATCCCGATCTATTCTGGGCTCTGCGTGGTGGTGGCGGTGGTATGTGTGCTCTCTCTTTTCCATTCTCCTCTCGAGCTTTCGTCTAACAAATCCCCACCAGGAACATATGGAGTCGTCACTTCGCTCATCTCTCGTGTCTACCCCAAGGTCGGTGTGACTGTCTCGACATTCAACTTCTCCACTGGCAAGGATGTCTCTGAGGAGACCTTCTGGGCTGGCATCCGCTCATACTTGGGGCGATTCCCAGCTCACGCCGACGCCGGCGCCTACGCCTACTTTTGGATAATGCCGACAGCCCCCAACGCCTTCCCTTTCCTAATGAACCCATTTTTCGCCGCCAACCACACCGTGGACGAGTTCAATGCTTTAGTCAAGCCATGGTACGATGATCCACGAGCTGGGTATTTTATTACAACCAAACACAACTTACTACGACAACTTTTACGACGGTTGGATGGCCGGATTCCCTCTCGAAACAGTCGCCTCATCGACCATGATGACCGGCTCTCGCCTCTTCCCCCGCGCAAATTGGGACACTCCCACCTCACTGAATGCGACCTTTGATGCTCTGCGTGCGACCATCACTGACGGCTTCGCATTACTCGGATTCAATATGAAAGCTGAGCTGCAAGAGGGCTTCACCTCGAACTCAGCAAACCCGGCTTGGCGCCAGACGCTGATGCACGCTATCACGTCGACCTCCTGGACAAACGCCACCTCCGATGCTGATATCAAGGTCAAGATGGATGACCTCACTAGAGCTGTCGGCAAGTGGCGCGCTGTCTGTCCCGGCTCCGGCGCGTACATGTCCGAGTCGGATATCCAAGAGCCACACTTCCAGCAGGCTTTCTACGATACCAACTACGACCGCTTGTATAAACTTAAGCAGCGGTATGACCCGACTGCTTTGTTCTATGCGCCTACTGGTGTTGGTAGTGAGGATTGGTTTGTGAAGAGCCTCGATGGTCTTCCGGATCAGAACGGTCGGTTGTGTCGCGTTTAAGCTGATGGGATGTATATTATAATTTAGATATGTACAGTGTTATAGACATGAACCATATACAGACCAGCTGAGCGCGATTGGGATTGTTAGCCGCCTGATACATCGGCCATCTATGGTGACAGCAAACATGTTTGCTATCGCCATGGAGAGCTACAAGTAGCTCTCTCTTTCCTTCCTCTCTTCAGTTTTTCTCCCTGGTCCATCCCTTCCATGGGAATCGCAGCATCTGTTTCTCCATAGGTTTCCATCAGCCAAAGTTTCCTTTTTCCTTATATCCTCTCGCTTTGGTACCTTTGATACGATATCGCCCGCGGGCAGCAGATCTCGATTGATACTCTGATTTGTGAAAGATTATCCTCACACTCTATCCTGACTTCTCCAAATGGCTTTCGGCTGCTAAGTGATGTGCATTGTCCATTTCAGATATCCGAACTCATCAACACTAACAACTCAGAGCTGGTCTCATGCCACACGGACAAAGTTGTCAAACACCACACCTGTCATTGAATTACTTCCTAATTCTAGCAAGGCTCACACGAGCCCTGAATTGCTACCTGGAAATAGCATGGAGGGCCAAAACTGGGGAGAGGTGTTTTCCGGGCCATCGAGTCGGAAACCCGGAAAAGCACACGCGATGCATCGGATTACCCCAACACGGGGTTTTTCCGGCAGATATAAAGCCACCTTGAACGAATGAATTGCTGATGGTATTCACACAACTATCATGGCTACAGTAACCATTACGACTACCCAAGGGGGCGTGCAGCCACTTCAGACCGAAGACATTGCGACTCGCCTGTTGAACGGCACACTTCACTCTCAGTGGCCGCCATTTGAGCAGTTCGCAACTATCGATGGCCTATTGAAATCTCATGCAGCTCAACCAGATGAGGCACGACGGCCTCTTATTTGCTATCCGATTCGCGGGGCGGCTGATTTCGAGGAGCATACAGCCGGAGCCATCAATCGGTATACTGATATCGCTGTTCGCTTTTATATGCAGCAAGGACTTGTACCCGCGGTAAGAAGGACTTTTTTTCGCTGTGTCTGTCAATCTTAACTAATCAACTCCTAGGACCCAGATCTCGAGCAGGCACCTGTTGTTGCTATGCTAGCTGGATCTAGCTTCGAGGTCGTGGTGACTTTCTTCGCACTAAATCGCCTTGGCTGTGCCGTGCTTTTCTTGTCCACACGTCTCACGGTCCCGGCTTATACCCGGCTAATGGAGATGGCAAATTGCAACCAGATCATCGAAACAAAGCAGTTTCAGCAAGTTGTAACTGAAATTTGTGCCGAGCGTCCTGGTTGTAGTAGCTTCTCTCTACTACAAAGACAGGACTGGTTCAACCTTCCCGTTAGCACTTCTCTCGCTCCCTTTGAACGGCCGGGTGCAGATCCATCACGAGAAGGCAAGAAGATTGCCTGGATTTTACATTCTTCTGGGAGTACCGGTTTCCCGAAGCCGATTTTCCTCACCAACCTTCAAACGCTAGCCAATTTTCGCAAGAGCTTCGGCCTTCGCCTCTTCACTATTAGCCCGCTCTTCCACTCCCACGCTTTAATGGAGTTTGGAAGAGCATTCTATACAAGAGCACCAGCTTACCTAGGAAACCATTCTCTTCCAGTCACATACCAGAATCTTTTCGATGCCCTCCAGGTCGCCAAGCCACAGCAAATCAGCGCGGTGCCATATGTGGTCAAGCTACTAGCAGAGAAGCAAGAAGGCATTCAAGCGCTGGCTAGCCCACAACTCGTGTTATACGGTGGCTCCAGCTGCCCAGACGATCTTGGCGACCGTCTTGTCGCACAAGGCGTGAATCTAGTCGGCAACTATGGAGCGACGGAGACGGGACAAATTATGACTTCTTTCCGCGCTCCGGAAGATAAGGAGTGGCAATACATGCGACTACACCGTCCTATTGCCGATCTCACCCTAATGGATGAGATATCGCCTGGGGTTTTTGAATGTGTTGCGTTGGACGGCCTGCCGAGCAAGGGCCCTTCGAATTCAAAGCCACCATACAGCGCAAATAACCCAGAGAACTCTTTCAGAACAGCCGATTTGTTCACCAAACATCCGGATCCAGAGAAGGGCAACTATTATAAGTATCTAAGTCGACTTGATGATCGAATCACGCTGGTCAATGGCGAAAAGGTGCTTCCTATTCCTATTGAAGGCCGCGTTCGAGAAGAGCCTATCGTGAGTGACTGCGTTGTGTTCGGCTTCCAGCGGACTGTGCCTGGGGCTTTGATCTTCCGAGCTCCTGGCAAGGTGCCTCATCTCAGCGACGATGAATTTCTGGAAGCTATCTGGCCAGCTGTTGAAGCGGCAAATGCTCGCGCGGAGACGTTCTCCCGTATCCCCAAGGAGCTCGTCGTGATCAAGGGTGCTGACGTTGTATACGCCAGAACTGATAAAGGAACTTGTATACGCGCCCAGGTTTATCAGCAGTTTGAGGAAGATATCAAGCAAGTATATGCCAAGTTTGAAGGGAGTGGCCAGAAAAGAGGTTCCCTCGCGCTTAGCATTCCAGAACTGGAGGATTGGCTGATCTCAAGGTTCAGCGAAGACTGGGGCGTACTAATACCCGGCGCTGAAGCCGACATCTTCTCAGCTGGAGTCGATAGTTTGCAGACAACGCAAATTTGGAGGTGCATAATGCGCGATATTGATATCGGCGAGGGAAGAGATCAGCTCTCACAGAACATTGTGTTCGAGAAAGGCACAGTCAATGCACTTGCGAAGCACCTCTACCAGCTGCGAACTGGTCAGGAATTCGAGAAAGAAGTTGAGCTTCATTCCATGCGTGAAATGATCGAAAAGTACTCCCATTTCACTCAACATTTCCCAACCATTACCCGAAGCCCAGAAACAGAGGTGGTAATGGTCACCGGCGCAACCGGCAACTTGGGGGCCTTCATTGTCTCCCAACTACTGAAGCGACCAACAGTTTCCGAAATCTGGGCAATCGTGCGCGCATCAGGTCAAGCAGCGGCAGGAGCTCGTCTCTCCAAAGCGCTGGCTGATCGCAACATCCTTCTCACCGATACCGAAGCCGCAAAGCTCCATGCCGTCCCTGGTGACATGTCACAGTCCAACCTCGGTCTCAAAGACCACGATCTGCATCGTGTCCTTTCATCGTTGACATGTGTCATCCACAGTGCCTGGGCCGTAAACTTCAACCTGGGCGTACGCTCGTTCGAGCAGCAGCATATCCGCGGAACATACAACCTCATCAACCTCTGCCTGCGCTCTCGTCTACCCTCCCCTGCACGCTTCTTCTTCTGCTCTAGTGTAAGCGCTGCGGGCAACACGCCCAAACCCTCGTCGATTCCCGAGACCATAATTGAGAATTTGGAGCACGCACAGAAGACTGGGTATGGTAGATCGAAGATGGTCACGGAACACATCACCCGCAACGCCATGCGTCAGACGGGCATGCAAGCCCGAGTTCTGAGAATAGGCCAGCTTGGTGGCGATACGGTTAACGCGCAATGGAATGATACGGAAGCTGTTGCGCTCATGTTCCGAAGCGCGCTGACGACGGGTGCATTACCAGAACTGAACGAGCAGCTGAGTTGGTTGCCTGTTGACCAGTGTGGTCGGGCTATTTCGGATATTGCTATGAATGCCGCTACTTCCGATCCCAACATGGTGTACCACTTGGTTAATCGTCGCACTTTTAGCTGGAAGGATGATTTGCTTCCTGCATTGAGACAGGGATCGGCCTTGGCGGAGATTGAGGTTGTGTCTCCGCAGGAGTGGCTGAGGAGACTGGCGACTAGTGAGCAGGATCCGGAGAAAAATCCGAGTGTGAAGCTCATCGATTTCTGGACGTCCAAGTATGCAAGTCATGGCCGGTCGGAGACAGGACAAGGGAGAAATGAAGAGGCTGGTCTTACATTTGAAACTGAGCGGACGGTTCAAGACTGCCCCTCTCTCGGTCTCGTGGAGGACCCCGTTGCCAGTGGTTTGATACAGAGGTATATTGAGTCATGGATGGGTCGGTGGGCTAGTAAATAAATGAATAGCAGAGAATATAATAGTGATCTGAGTTTTACCGCCACGTCCCACTGAAGATATTGGGATTATTATGGGGACATTAAGAGTGAAGACGAGAGCAATAGGCGAGATCTAGAGGTGAAACGAAACAAACAAGGGGAATCAAATATTTAGTTTACGACACTAAAGACAAGCTGGTATCTCATCTCACAACCTCGGCTCCGACTCCGACTCAATGATCAATAGTAATTCATCTGGTTACTAGGCACAACCACTCTCAGGCTTGGGGGGCTCCTCAACCATGGGAGAGTTAGACTGAGACTTGAGACCCTTCTGCATAGCCTCCAAGTGCTCAAAGTTGTAGGTATCCTCGCCCAAACTCCAAGCCATGACACCACCAAGCTTCTTCTCCGCGACGATCTCCTTGAACTTGCGGGCAATCATTTCGGGGGTATCCCAGGTCCAGAAGAGGCTGTTCTCGCGGTCGAAGTAGTACTGACCACCGCCCTTCTCGTCGGTGCTGCCATCCTTCTGGGCCTTGCGCCATGAGTCGGTGATAGAGATACCCTTGCAGGTACCGTAGTCAGAGAGACATCCAGCCTGACAGAACTCATCAGTAGTACCACTATACAAAGTTAATTTAGATACCAACCACAAGCAAGGGGTGGTTATGCATACCAATAGCCGGAGGAACTGCAGCACTGTCCTGATGGACACTTGGCCTTCGCTCCGAATCCACACAACCCATCGGGGCTTTCTTTCAGATCCTTAGGCGCAGCAGCAACAGTGCTAGCCTCGAAAGTCAAAGCACCGGACTTGCCATTGTCCGACCCATCGTCGTTCTCGAGCTTGGCAAGCTCGCAGCCGAGAGGGTTCTCGCAGTCGGCTTTGGTGGTGAACCACTTAGCGTAGTATGCGAAGCCAAGGTTGAGCTTCTCAGGATCAGCCCCAATGGCGAGATACTCGTTAATGGTGTCCAAGGATCCCTGGACACCGCTAGCGTGGCCGGTGAGCTTATCACGACGGTTAACCAGATCGTAGCTCATGACATTGACCATATCGACAGACTTGAAGATCTTGGGACCCTGCTCCTTGGTGAAGGCGATGAAGTCCTGTTTCCGACCGGGGACTGCGATGGAGAGGATCTTGTCGCCAAGTTCTTTTCGGAGAGCTTCCAGGAAGAGAGGGTATGTTTCGATCTCGTCCACTTTCTTGGAGTTCGGCACCTGTTTGTAGTCTTGGCCGTTGCCACCAGGGTATTCCCAGTCAATATCTGTTTATGAGTTAATCACTTGCTCCCTTTTAAATTTGGAAAGGATTGTTGGGGGTATCTTACCGACACCGTCGAATCCATGTGCGTCCAGCATGGAAGCGACATTCTTGGCATATCGCGTGCGCGAAGCCTCATCCTTTGCTCCTTCGGAGAAACCAGCGGTATCACCCCAGCCACCAATAGCAATCATCAGCTTGGTATCCGGGCTGAAGCGCTTGCGCATGGTCTCAGGGGACTCAAATGGCTTGTATTCTGTGCCAGAGTTGAATATCTTTGAGGCAGCGAAGGCCATTATCGCATAGTCAATGCCCTCAGTCTTCTCCTGGCCCGGAAGAGCGGTGACATGGTACCTTGGTTAGATGTCAGCTGTGAGTTCGGGGTTGTAGATAACTTCCACAAGTTTGTACTAACTGGTCGATGTACATGGCAAATCGTGTGGCAGCCACGGACTGAGCGGCCAGCAGGCCAAGCGCGAGGCGTTTGAACATAATGAGGATCGATTAGACAGTCGTGACAGGTGTATAGAGAGGTCGAAATGTGGATCCAGTTGCAGGAAAGAATGTATAAACAGATATCCAGTCTGTTGGCGAGAGTCACAAGCAGCTTCAAGCCGCGAACGAAGTACACCGAGAATGAATAGAGAAAAACATCGGGGCAGAAGAAGAAGGCCAGGTATATATTCGAGTCCTACACGGCGCATAGACACCGAACATGCCGGGATGATTCAGGGCTATCGAACACGCGCCCTGATCTGTGTATGCGGGGCATGTGAGCCATTCCTTTTAGGAATGTCGTATCACTCCGCAGCTCACAAACGGAAAGCCCCCTGAACGGAAGGATTCTACGCGCTAAGAAAGGGCAGCGCTAGTAGTGCGGAATGCCAAGCCCTTTTGGGCCTGAGGTAGATACCGCCCCAATACCATTGGTATATGCAAAGATAGATTAGGGGCCCATGATCCTAGTTGAAACGTTTCAAAAAAAAAGGTTTTTCCTTCGCAAGTAAATGGTGGATAATCACGGTGTACGATCTACAAGGTATGCCAGATTGGTCTAGCATTCATTCCCTCCTAAAAACCCGCATTCCCCCCTAGTTGAACCTAATCGCCGTAGAACTGACATTTGGATTTTAATGTCCAAGGTCTCTGGAAGTCGTCCTTGAGGGATATTTTTCGCGTCCGGATTTGACTCTACGAGCATCAATATGGGGCGGGGGCGAAACTCAATGATATACGGAAGGAAGGCAGTTGAAACCTCGAGGATGTTTCGAATAGATAGACTGATCTAGGGGTATAAGCAACAACAAGATCCAAGCAAACGCCGACAATCTATATTACAATGCGCTAAAAGTCTTCAATAGTCAAACATGGACGGTTAGTTCCAGTGGCGTCGAATGATCGGCCGGGCAGGGTCCCACGGACCGATCACAACGTTCTTGTACTTTTGCAAACTGATAAGCCACCAGCTGCACCCGCCCATGACAAACGCAGTCAGGATGCTTCCTAGGACAGACCCAATGATTGCTGCTGCCCAACCGCCGCTCAGCGTGACACCAACAGCGCCACCAGCAACGATCACGAGGGCTAGTGTCAAGAGCACATGTCCAGTCCATGATTTCTGTCGCAGTTGGCGCCGGAAGATGGGGAACAACCCAAACACTTCCATGGAGAACAGCATGAGACTGAACACGTGTGTCGTAGACGGCAGTCGGGACGCGAGCACGGTCGATGCCATCACGGCTGCGTTGGTGGACAAAGAAGCAGGAAATTTGGTAGTGGCGCCTGCGCCTTCCCCGCTCCCATAGTCGAAAGAAAATATATTCATGATTAAAAGCCAGCAGCTCATCGCCCAGATGGAGTCACTGGCGGTGGACTTGGTAAGAGATTTCAAGATGGGACTGAGGCCCAGGAGGGAGAAGTAAATAAGGAAGGCCGACTTGACCGTAGTCAAACGCTGGCGGTTGCGCGGTGATAGCATAGAAACGCGGTGGTTATCTTGCGACATCAACGGGTCGGTAGTACCAGTGATGGAGCTTCCTGGGGCAGACGGCACAGTACCTTGTGCTGTCAAATGAGTCACGGCGTCGATACTTTCGCTGGAATCGGCACTGCGACGAGCGAATTGCTCTTTTGATTCATTTCCAGACATTGATAGCCCAAGCCCATGAATGGTGTTCGTCTTCGTCTCATCGGATGGCGTGTCATTGGCCGGTGTATCGACAGCGCTGGCGAATGAAGTCGAACTGGATCCATCATCGCCTCCAGGAATTCCATTTGCACTTTGCACGGATTCCCCATGCTCCTTCCAAATCCAGTTATCCCACAGAATCCAGCCCACTGCCGTACCAACACTTCCCCAGCAGACAATTGAGACAGGGCTCACTCGATCTAGGACAATGCCAACGAAGCAACAAACGAAGATAACGACTGAACAGACATGCTGCACAATCACAGTCGAATCAGCCACTAAAGGCCAGAAATCATACGGCCGCACCCGAGGATTACGCTGGAGGTGGTCAAGAAACGTTTCCGTGTCGGTATAGTTATCCGGATCTATGAATCGATCGTCAGCAACAGCGCAACAACAACCCCGAGCCCTGTACAAAGCCCAGGCCCATGCGCAGACATACACGATTGCTTAACCCAAAGCAACTTCTTCCAAGCACCCTTCCGCTTTCGACGCCGTCCAGCACCGCCCAACTTCTTCCGCAACACCGCAGCGGACCCAATATGAGCACTGCCGTCACCGTTCAACGACCGCAAATTTTCCTCGTAGTTGCTGGGCGCTGACCGGGCGCGCGAGAGTGAGGGTGCGAAGTACGCATCTTCGGGCGCTAGTCGATTGGGGTCGGGGAGGGAGCTTTCGAGGTCTGGAGGCTTGGACCCTGTGGCGCGGTTGGGATGAGTGTCGACGGGGATCGGAGGAGGGAAGGGATCTAGCGAGGGAGGAGACGCCATCGAGCACAGGTAGAACTAGCGTCGGGGCATGGTGTGAGAAGAAAATAAGCCCGATGTATAATGTAGATGTGACGACTTGTTGTCAACGAGGGCGCGTCCAACCGTGCCTGGGCGGCATCTAGATGCTGATTCAGCAGTTAGCTATAACTACCAGCACGTGACGTTATCAGCCCTGGTTCCTCGGGGTTGAACGACTCGTTGGGTTTCATTTCTTGATGGGATAGTAGGCCTCAAATATGCTTTTTGACTTTTGACAAGTGCTATCTGTATCGATGTACTTCTCTATTATAGCGGATCTCATAAATGTACCTTTCATAACAGCTTAAGAATCTTGCATACTTGCAATGTAAACATCCTTGTGAGCAACGGTATTCCAGACATTACCTCTAAAACGTGCAAAAGGAAGTCCCAAAGGCATAAGAAAACTCGTAAGACAGCCACAGACAGGCATGGAGAAAAATACCGCAACAAGGTTTTGAAAAATAATAGAAAATGCCCAGGAACAATGACTTTTGAGAAAACCCCCATGTTGACACGATTTCCATATATAATAAAGATGGTGATGATATTTAGATGACTATATGGGCCATAGATAATCTGGCAAATGTTTGTTTTTTGATTTTTTTTGAAATGGATACACGTACATCCACGCTCAGGCGGACTGCAACATATTTGAATCAAGCTTTCCTTGACGCAGAACAAACTGGCCGAAAAAAACAATGGCCACCAGCCCAACCACATCAAGGACGAAGCGGACATGTTGGCCAAAGTTGACGCCCGATGATTCTCCGGCCACGACACCATCCCACAAGGTCATTCAATTGACCATTTAGAAGCCCATTGCGGGTTTCACCTCCACAACGCGGTCTTCATCACCAGAACCAGAAGACTTCCGAATATCCTCCTGGAGGATATCAAATTCGTCAACGCAACCCTCCCCCACGTATCGGACTCCATCAACCCCAGAAACAGTGCACAAAAGTCCTGTGCGCTTGTCCATGCCCTTGTAGAACTGCTGGGCCTTTCCAAACAACACGTTTGCGTCATCTGTCTTGAAAACGCGGACTTGATCTGATGCGTCTAACATCAACTTGTAGCGAAGACCATCAGAGGTCTCATCATTGGAGCTCCATGTGCTACGGCGCCTCTTTTGAGGCTTCCAAGGACTCTCAAGAGAACGGACTACTGGTGAAATGGCCTTGTCCCACGATGGCGGTGGGACAACTGGCGTTCTGTCTTCATTTTCATTTTCCGCTTTGGAATAACTGCTGGTCCAAACTTGGCGCCTAGACCTCAAGGGCGAATAAGGCGGCTCAGACGAGTTAGAGCCGGCATCGTCGATATCCTCATTTGTGCCAGACTGCTTCTTGGGAGTGGAAGATGGGATACGCATATTGAAAATATCATTCAGCCCGGACAGCCGAGTGCACTTGCGTCCATCGTCAAACATATGTGCACCGAACGTAATCTTCTGTTCATCTGTTCTCCAAAGTTTCAATCCGCAAGCCTGAACCTCTCCTTTTCGCTCGACTTCAAGCCAGTCCAGTAGGTACAGCCCCTTCGTACCCTTGGTCGAGTGTCCCCTGAACTTTGGTCGGGGTTGGCCGTAGACGACGAGTTCTTCTGGTCCACTCTGGGAGTGAAGTATCATAATACGGTAGATCAAGCTTCGTCGAGTCTGACCTTTCAGTGAGATCTGAAATATTGATAGCTCGCATTCGTCGCCATCGTCGCTGAAAGCTTTGAAGTGCTTCCAGGTCGAGGGAGCTCGACCCGACACAGCAGAAGGATGTTCAATGTATGGAGAATCTTCATGCCATTCTTCGAGAAGTTCAAGGATTCGTGCCGGGATCGGCTGCTTTGGGCCCATGATGCGCTCCACCGCCAGGGACGGAGGTTGGATCGTCGAGTTGGTAGGGGAGGATGCCGGCTTTGGGGGTAATCCTTGAGGAGGAGGACTAGAGCGGGGTGCAGAAGCAGCAGTGGTTGGTTTTGGAGTTTGGGTTTCTTCGGTAATCATGAGTTCGCCAGACGCGGAGACTGCGTAGCTCACGCGCGGAGCTGTCGGGCTGATAAAATGACTTTCAGTCGAAAGGCTGATAAAATGACTTTCAGTCGAAACTGAATGCGACGCAGTGCCAGGGTCAGATGGATCTTGCAGGAGTGACTCGTCGATATCGGTCAGATCAGACTCAGTTGAAGTCGGAACTTGTGCGTCAGTCCCTTCCGGTGCATTGAGAACGGAGCCCTGAATGACAGGCTCAGTAACGTCAACCTTCGCAGCTGATGCATGGGATTCATTCTGAGCGGCCGGTGATTCCGCCGTGAGGCTTTCCAGTTGGTCCGAAATTTCACGAACGCTTGCTGCCATATTGATAACAGTAAGGTAAAGAAGATGAAAAGTGCGTAGAATAAGGATAGAACAAGATGAGGGAAGGGGAGAAAGATGCGCGAGGGAGGAAGAAGCAAGAAGAAATAGGAATAAGAAGAGTACGCGACACGCAAGAAGCAGAGAGTCCACGCAAATAAATTGCAACAGAAGTGAAATTGCGATCAATGTAAGGAAAATTGCGAGTCCAGGTGACAACCTTAGGGATTTTTGCAAGAGCAATGTAAGCACAAGCGCTCTGGAGTAGAAAGAACTGGAAGGAACAGCCTTGGGAATGAGAATAAGAGATTAGGACTTGGAAGATAACACCAGCGCAGTGATAATGGAAAATGCGCTGGTCCGTCGACATCATATGGATGAATCGTTAGCAGGGGCAGTCCAATATCAGATACAAACTGAGAGAAGCGGAGTACATAGTTCGCCGGTAAAAGGACCGAAATATGGAATTTATTTCTCTAAGATGATAACCGAACATGTTTGAACTCCAAACAAGAAGCTAGAAAGCTTCAGATAGATCTAAATGTACAACATGGACAAATGCCCGACGGAATCACTACATTGGCTTTTTCATAGGTGGCCTATTAAAGCAGCCACTCTGGGTGCGCAAAAGAGTTCGGCACAAGATTGGTGTTCAGAGATTGCTTGTAAGGGGTATCAAGACTCAAAAGCGGAGGGAGGGTAGGGTCACAATAGTTTAGTCTGTTATAGATCACTGGACGACCTGCCATGTTGTTGAAGGACATTGTTATTTTGAACGAGGTTTCGGACCGCCTGCGGTGCGACCACGTCGTCAACGCTGTTTCTGCGACCCCAGTTTTGCGGCTGGCGTCGGATGAAGGCACCAACAGCACCTAGGTAGCCCTCGTGGCGTAGGAAATACGCTTGCTTCTCGCCCTTGGACCAAAAGCGGATGGCGTAGGAGAGAGTATTCATCGTTTGCCGGTGTCCCCGAATGAATGAGCCTCCGAAGTAAATATGTCTGACTGAATGTTTTTCTGACTGCAGATATGCGATCTGACCAATATTATTACTAATCGGGGTTAGTTCGGACTTCGGAAAATGGGAATAATGTAACATACCTGATGGCGTAGAGCAGACTCCTGCTCATATCTTCCGGGTTGGGCTTGGGTCCGTGGCTGGACTTGCTGGACTCGCTGGCTCCACTAGGGTCGTCGCGAATCAAGCCCTCGCCGTCCTCGGCCCCTTGCTCGGCATCGTTTTTCAACCGGAGCACTTTGCCGAAAGTACTGGCAATAGCAGTGCTCTTCAACCCAATTTTGCTGTAGTCCATGCCGTAAATATCTCCTACAAGCATGTCCACTGCACTGTTATCTCCGCGGTCGGCCATTGCTAGCATGTCATCGAAGGTCCGGGACCCGGTCAACAAAGACATAATGCCCCAGAACGTTCCACCACCCAGGTGTGTTCCGCCGACACGCTCGAATTGTCTCGGACCGGAGACTTTTATCATCGACACACCTGACCCTATATTGACGAGCAGATATGGGTAGACATCGGGCCGGGCTTCGGCATATTGCATCGGCTCAGCGTCGGCATCGCTGTAAGTGAAGACTTCGTTGGGGATCTCGGTAATGAAAAAGTCCAGTCCTTTTTGGAGACGTTAGAAAAGCATGCTCTGTACTTGCAATTGTTCAACTTACCAATGATCAAGCATTCCATCTCCTCTTCCCGGAGAATATTAACGTTTAATTCTTCTTTCAGCTGATCGTAGTACTTGTATGCGCCGCCCCCAGTAGCTACGACACACAGTCCCTCCCGTGTCGAACCATTGCGCTTCTCGTGTTCCTCTTTGAGTTGTCGAATGAAGTTGATGCACAGATCGATCCGGTGTGTTTCAAAGTTTAGGAAATTGAGTCGGCCGCCATTATCCGCAGTGTCCAGCTCTCGAGTAAAATAAACAAGCTTCGCAAGTGTTCCGCCAATCTACCAAGTCCCAATTCCACGTCAGTTATAGCTTCTTCTGGCGTTATGAGCGAATTGTCTGCTCTGCCCCTAGATTGCGGGGGAACAGGTAGCAGTGCGGGGCACGTGAGAAAATAATTTCTCTCAACTCACATCGACAGCCACATGGCTCACAACGCCTGTATGATGCGGAAGTCGAATGTCCTTGTTTTCGTAGTGTACGCCCTCTGCATCGACGGGGCTTTTGGATCGTGGTTCGTCGTCGACGATGAATGCGCCCGTGACATTGATTTTGACGGCGCCGGGATTGGTGATCGCAGCTTCCAGACGGTTCGGGCGCTTGCGAGCATTGGTATCTACCTCCACACGTTCGGCCATGATGAATATGTTATGAAGGAGGTCGAATGGAGGTGAAGAAGGTTAGCCGTTCCCAGGCTTACTGCGTATATTTCCTTCTACCCGGAACGGGCCACGGGAGGGTCGGATCCACTTTTATTTCACTGGGAGCCGAGGAGCTTAACGTCCCGAGGCATCGTAGATCGACATGCCCTAGAGGATAGCCCTGGAGGTATGATCTTGATATGCCGATAAATATATGAAGAATTAGCGATCTGCGCTTCGTTTGGCACCTGAGATCCCGTTCAGAACTGAGAATGAAGCGCCTGAATATTAACCGCCTATGTACATATGTAGGCATGAGTAAAATTGCATATGATCAGCAGTGTAGAGATGTAGATATTGAGTTAAATATGTAGCGTAAACAGACGAACCAGAAAACAGCTTGATATTGAAGGATTGGAGCAAACCATTTAGCTGCACATATAGTCTTGGAAAAGTGCTACCCACATATGAACATAAGCCCCATGGTTATCACAATCAGTTCAGGTCGAATAACGAAAGTACAATATACATCCATAGCAGTAGTATATTATATGGAAAAACAAGTACCCAAGGCTGCCTTTGATATATGGTCAGTGTAGATGGATCGGTTGGTTGTTCCTTCCTGACAGAGAATGGTACATTTAGTATACTTCCATATACTCTGGGGTTCCCATAGTGACCTTGTGTCCAGTTGAAGTACTCGGAGGAGTCGGCCAGAAGCGATTGCCATTGCGCGCGCAGTGGACCTTGGAACTGACCTTCCGCGTTGACAACACGTTGTTGCGTTTGCTCTTCCACATAAATAGAATCTTACCTCTTCCCACTTCCTTCCTCTTTCCTCTTCCCACACCCCTTTGTCCCCTATATCATCGTTTAAAGCACTTGCAATTATCAATAGGTCAATAGACCATGGAATCATACGACAACCCCGAGGTTGCGGCGGCTGCTGACGCTCCTGGCGCTGTCGACTCAGTCTCGGCAGCCGAATTTGCTTCTGCTGTCGGTTCAGGCGCCGGTGAGGCGCCTGCTGAAGGCGTGCTTTCTGGTGTTGGCCCCAACGCTGAGGCTGCCCAAAAGGTCGCTCGAGACAAGGGTTGGACCGACCCAGTTCCCTTCGAGTATGCCGAGCTTGCTAATAGCAAGGATCATCTGGATTGGGCTGGAGTTGCCGTCCGTTATGAATGGAAGGACGAATATGGTGATGTTGGCCCTGCCGTCCCTGAATTAGAGGATCAGCTTTTCCATGGAGAACTGATTGCTCGAGCTGGGGCTAAGCTCGACGAGTAAGTGACGTGAATCTGATGATCGGACACCAACTTGATATCTAACATGCATTCTTCTCCAGGCTGAACAGTTACAAGGTCAACATCGAGAGTCCTAACGAGATCAGGGCGGTTACCGAGGTCGGTTTGCGAGACAAATTAGCAACAATTTACCAGTCTAACAATTCATAGTGGGCAAACTTTGGTCTGCATCCGGTAATGCTCGAGAACATTCGTCTGTGCGGGTATGAACAGCCCACTGCGGTGCAGTCTTATGCAATCCCGGCTGTACTAGCTAACCTTGATGTTATTGCCGTGGCCCAAACTGGTACGTGCTGTGGAGTATGGTTTTTTTGGCAAATGTTGGTCCTAACAAAACATAGGCTCTGGAAAGACGGGTGCCTTCCTCATTCCAATCCTCTCCAAGTTGATGGGCAAGGCGAGGAAGCTCGCTGCTCCTCGGCCTAACACTGCGGAAAGATTTAACCCGCGGGAGGATGCTGTTCGAGCAGAGCCTTTGGTTCTGATCGTCTGCCCCACTCGCGAATTGGCGACTCAGATCTTTGATGAATCGCGTCGTTTGTGCTATCGCTCCATGCTGCGTCCGTGTGTCGCTTATGGCGGTGCTCCTGCTCGCCTCCAGCGTGAGGAGCTTCAGAAAGGATGCGATATTCTGATTGCCACTCCAGGCCGTCTTCTCGACTTCATGGAGCAGACCCACGTTCTTTCTCTCCGCCGCGTTAGGTACGTCGTGACTCACTTGATATACATCCTTGATGATATTGGATACTAATGATGTTTCAGGTACACCGTCATCGACGAGGCAGATGAGATGCTGGAATCTGACTGGGAGGAAGAGTTCAAGAAGATAATGTCAGGAGGAGGTAAGTGATGTGAGAGCGTTTGCCATGGCGCGCGCATCTGCGCGCGGTCTTAACCCCACCTCGATGCGCCTGCGTTTCAGTGTTGCTGACTTGAAGAAGATGTGAATGAGGATGATGATCACCGCTACTTGATGTTCTCCGCTACCTTCAACAAGGAGTTCCGGAAACTTGCAAAGCAATACCTCAGCCAGGACCATGTGCGTCTCCGTGTTGGCAGGGCTGGCAGTTCGCACCTCAATGTTGTGCAGGATGTATGTGTACCGCTAAAATTGTGAAGGGCTCGTGGGGTTTCAGACCAATGCTAACGCTTAGTGAAATTTGAAGATCATCTGGGTTGATAAGGAAAAGAAGATGCGCGCAGTCTATGACCTTCTGATCAGCATGCCGCCTGTTCGCACCTTGATTTTCGTCAACAGCAAGGAGCAGGTTGACTTCGTCGATGATTACCTCTACAACTCTGGAATGCCCACCACCTCGATTCACAGTGGACGGACTCAGCGTGAACGCGAGGATGCTATGTGAGTATTTGTTCACTCCGTTCTTATATTCCAATTTGCTAACCCACCAAAACAGGCGTGCCTTCCGGTCTGCCAAGTGTCCTATCATGGTCGCTACCGGCGTCTCCGCTCGTGGGCTCGATGTGATCAATGTGCTCCACGTCATTAACTACGATCTCCCCAGCGTTATGCACGGGGGCATCACTGAATACATTCACCGTATCGGTATGTGTTACTCCAACTGATATTGCTTTGTTCCCAATACTCTTGATAAACGTGCCGCTAATAGTTCTTCTACCACCCACAGGCCGTACTGCTCGCATTGGAAACGAGGGCATCGCCACCTCTTTCTACAATGAACGCGATGAGGGCCTTGCCGAGGACCTTGTTAAGATCTTGGTCGAATGCAAGCAAGTGGTCCCAGAGTTCCTTGAACAGTACCGCCCTGAGGGTGATGTGCTGGAGTTTGACGATGACTCTGACAAAGAGTTCTTCGATAATCCGTCTGACGCTGGCTCTGGCGCTGAGGCTGACCATGAAGCTGAATCCAACGCTGATGCTGACGCTGAATCTGTTGCAGCTGAACCTGATGAAGCTGGAGAGACTGACAAAGTAATTGCAAGTGATATTGAAGATGACAAGCCTGCTGTTCCCAAGCCCACTGTTACATCTGAGGAGGAAGAGGAGGCTTGTACACAGTGGACGGCTGCCCCAACTGCGAGTGAACGCAAGAAGCCGAAGGAGACCAAGGCTGGCCTGGCCCATTCCAATTGGGCGCCCGAGCCCGCTCCCGCTCCTCCCAAGGATGATGATTCATTCTGGATGTAGAGCTCGACCTTTCATTCTGGTTGTGCCGAACGCGGAAGACCAACAAACACGAACAACGATGGCAGAAAAGAAAACAAAAAAGGAAAGTGAACCAAAAAAAAATGGAAACGAAAGAAGTCCAACGGTGCAGAGAATGAATTTTACCAAGTTCGAAATTTTACCCTGGATGATCAGGGATCGGATCTCACATTATCTGGCCCCGGAGGAAGTTTTGAGGGCCTGATCTCTCGACCATATGCAACCTGGATCTGTGGAACCTAAGACCTTTTCTCCTGCGACCTGTATCCGGGTTGGATCGGTTTTATCGTGAGTGCGAATGCAGTCATATGGATGCAAAGGTCGGGAAGATGTGCCGCATTACGGATTTCAAGGGTTTATGCAACTATCTAGTTTCACTTTTTATTTCCCCTGTAAATTGCAAACTATAGAGAGTAGAGATGTAGAGTGGCACAGTCTTGGGAGGTTTACTTCCTGCCTGTTTAAATGTGTAATCAATCGTTCTTGACTCTTTGAACTGCTCCGAGTACATAAACAATGCTTTTAGCAACTTCCACCTCGGCCTCTTCAATCCAAAAACATTGAATCATTATTCCAGTGAACCTTCATCATGCATTGGCTATTTATAGGTCCTGCCGCTCTTTTGCTATTCCTCCCAGCCTCAGCTTTATCTCGCGGAACTGTTGACCACGGCCACTGGAATGAACTCCGAGGGCTCACCCACAACGCTTCGCATGACGCCTCGCAGGCAGCGAAGTCAAGCCCTGCTCTTGTCATTGACACTTTCAAAAACCCAACCCGCAACGACCTGGGATTCTGGCACGGTTCCGGCGAGAACCTATCCGTGGAACATGGACCGGGATTCGTCCGTCTATTCCCAACAGACCCTGACCAGAACTTCCACACACAGTTCGATTCCAACGCCTGCTACAGCCTGATACCCTGGTACAACGAGTATTTGCATGTCATATTCGAGGGCACGGATCAGTACAGCGTCTCTTTTAATCAACACAACGACGACTGCAACCCGCAACGCAGGCCCTTCCCCGGCATTGCAGACTCCGTCCAGGCGGAGCGGTATGTGGTTTATCCTGCCTCCGAGACCTATGACGAGGATGATGACTGGGATGACGCCGATAATATGCACACCGATGCTGGGAGAAAGAAACACAAGCATGGAAAGTCCAAGGGTGGTCGACGAACGCACCCCCAAGCCAACACGAAGATTCCAACGGGCCGTCGTGAGCTCTATATCCCTTTGACACATTTCGATATAGATTTCAATCGTGTCGTATCGGTTTCGTTCCATGGCTTCTACACCAATGAACCCATCACTCTGCATCACGTAGAGATCGTGCCTAATGTTCCAATGCCCTCGCCGGAAAACGGTTACTATCATGTCCCTGGGAAGCTGCCCAGTGGGAAATTGGTTCTCCGTTGTTCCCGGCCGAACTCCTTTGCATTCGGTATCGATGATGGACAGCCGCAGTACTCTCAGCAGGTCATGCGTATCCTTGACGAGGAAGGTGTGCGAGTAACTTTCTTCGTTGTTGGGGCTGGACTCAGGGATCGGACGAGCAATTTCACGGAGTTTTATAAGGAGATGTTAAAGAAGGGGCACCAAGTAGCGTTTCATTCGAACACTCATCCAAAGTAAGTTTGTTCTGAACATTGGTTTCCATGTGAAGCGAAGCGGCTGACATGGCGATCAAGGATGGAATCATTGCCAACCCTTGCTGACATTGACGACGAGATTATCCAGCCCATACAAATCTTTAGAGACCAGCTGGGCATCGAGTGTATGTGAGCCTCTAAAGCATCCATGAAAATGATTCTGACACAGTGAATATTTGCAGCTTCATACTTCCGTCCGCCATTTGGTACAGTAGCTTCCCGGCTGCGTCGGGAGCTAGCCCGACACATACCAAACCCGTCCATTGTGAACTGGAGTGTCGATGTTGAAGACTGGCTATGGGCAGATACTTCCACCCCAGAGAAGCAGCTTGAAGCCTTCTTCCGCGGTGTTGCAAGCGGCGGGAATCTTGCTGTCATGCACTACCTGCATCCGACTACCATCGGGTACCTACCAGAGTTCATTCGACATGTCAAGAGCGCCGGATACCAGATCATGCGAATCGATCAGTGTTTGGGGGATGTCTCCGCTCCAGCGTTGTGAATGGACAATGCCGTGAAATCTGTACAGTCTGACTACAGGGCTTGTCCTGTGAGTACCTAGGCATATTCTTAAGTGTATTCTCTCTCCTTGTCCTGACGCCGTCCGAGAAATGCTGGCTTTCATTCGTTTCTTATTCTTTTGTCCTTATCTTTTAGAACAGTGAATCGATGAATAATACTTGCGATTCCACAATAACAAAATGGGAATCCGTCCAAGTGTGGCAAGAGGATGTATTGAGCGATCAAGCAGGTATATAAGAAGGGTCAACCAAGCACCAACGCCACAAATACAGCTTGTCTATTCAAGCTCATCAGCAGCCACAGAACACAGAAAATGGTAGTATAGGAACATAGGAGAGAAGAATAACAAAAAAACACAGGTTCTCCCAACCGAACCCTACTCGAAATCACCCGGTATGCCCAAATACCAGACCGGGCTCCAAACCAAGCAATCGTCAAAGTATCCCATTCCTCGCTCTCGATGCAAGCAACACAAAACCAAACAAGAGATGACATAGAACCAAAAGAATCAACATACCATGAAACAGAGACATCCCACTCCAAAAAAAGCAAAAGCAATATCCAAGCACAGTCAGATCACCTCAATCCCCAAAATCAGGTTTTCGACACAACCCCTTCTTCTCCGTCATATCGCGAATCCGACTAGTAATCCAGCCTGACGTCGCATCGCCGCTCGGAACAGCCTGTCCAAGACGCGGGTTGGGACTCGTGAAGCATTTGCCTTCACGGAAGGCGAATTGCACGCATGATGTCTGCGTCTGGCAGATTAAGCGACAGTCTTCGAAAGTGTGTGCGAAGGGCTGGTCTTCGTTTGCCATGTTATTCCAGTTCGGGCGTGTGGGCTGCGTGTTTATTTCCGGCGAGATGTATTCGCGGAAAAGGTCGCCGTGCAGGAGGATTCGTTTGTTTTTCTATTGGAGGTTAAGTTAGCAAATGTTATAATGCTATGGAATGGTGGGTAGGGAGAGGATTTGGTCGACTCACATCACGCCAGCGCTTTTGTTCGAATTTCCATAGGTTCTCAATATCACTTGGTGAGAGGTGGTGGAGGGCGACAGCGATAAAACACCATGGTTTTCGGTAGAAGTCCGTGGTGAACTCGTCCAGCTCGCCGAGGTTTGAATTCTGAAGGATCGGCCATGTGAAGTGTAGGTTGACGCCTGCGTCGCTGAGGACCTTTCCCAGCACGCAATCGCCGGCCCAGTGCTGGTCGGTGAATGCGTTCAGCTCGACCTCGCGCGCAGAGTACTCGTCGGAGGCGCGTTGCAGCGCCGGGTTAGAGAGCATGAAGCCCGAGCCACCGTGGGCGAAAATAACGTCTGCGATCTGAGTCTCCGTGCCGAGATAGTGTGGCTTCGTGTGGTCGAACCGGGCCAGCCAGGTTAGAACCGTTGGCCACGAGACGTAGGTGTCTGCTTCAACGAAGATGAACCACTTCGCGTCTGGCTTGTGGCGTAGCGCTTCCTGCGCCATTGGGAGGAATTTCCATTTGTCAAGTTTCCAGCCTGGGTTGTTTGGTTTTCCGATAGCGGAGTTGGCTTCGTCGGAGAAATCTTGCTGCTCTAGACCCTTGCGGCCGTATTTCACGATGCGGTGGTAGAAGTCGAAGTCTGGGTTCCTTTTTGCGGCGCTGTCCATGTCGCGGAGGACATCGTGGATCTTGACGCCTTCGATTTCTTCTGCGAAGTCGGAGTATATCACGTAGTGGGGGATGCATCGTAAGGTTGTTTGGAAGTGGATGGGGACTTTGTCGCGCGATTCCGTCACTCCGGTCTTCATTACCACGAGCACATCTTCGATGCCTGGTAGGGGTGGGCAGAATGGGGCTGGTTCGCCGTTCTCACCGAGCGCTGGGTTGACCTCTGTCGTAGCTGTGAAGTGAGGGCGCCATTGGCGATTGTGACTGGAGAAGGAGCTGATGTGGTAGAGGAAGAAGAGCGCAATGGCGGTTGCAACTGCAATCAGGCGACGACTGAACCGGCGGGGGACCATGCTGAGAAATATGAGTACACCAAACAGAGAATGAAATCAATTGGTCATTTTCTCCAGAGCTGCTGAAAGTACAGATCTTTTTTCCCCCCTCTCCTGTTAAACCAAAAGAGCAAAGAACTGAGGAAAGGTCGGAGCTAAGGATGATCGACGCCGAGGTTTGCCGCTGACACATCGGGGACGCGTAGCCCAGGTGGAATTTGGGATGTTCTAAATAGCTGCCCCTTGAATCAAATATCTGGAGCCATGATAATCCCTTGCTATACGAGATATTCCCATGCTTCTCCATTTCTTCAGGGGTAGCTTCCGGGGTCCCGCACGACGTCATGGTCCACCGAGATCAGCACGGCCAGTGCAGGATATCACGGAATAGTCGAATAGTCGAATAATTCAATTGAAATATAAGTATGCACAGTATATGCCCTTCTGTACATTATTTACATAGGGTATGATATAGACACCAAGACTATTGACATAGTTGCAAAAAGCTTCAAAACATATAAACATGAAACAGTGCGTGGCAAGCATCTACCTATCGGGACAATATATATTATTGTGTAGATCCAACATGATCCTCAAAAGGATGCATAGTATTACACGGAACCAACGACAGTATGAATTGAATCCACTACAAGACCCGGAAAGACCCATTATTTGTTCATATTGAATTGTACAACATACACAGCCCCCATAGAAGCATCACTGCGTAGGTTGTGTTTTCTCAATCATCTTCGTGTGCAGCTTAACCAACTCCGGAATAATAAGACTCTCAATCTCAATTCCATCCCGACTGGTCTCATTAATCTGCTCAGCCTCCACCTGCTCCGGCGTCGACGAATTCCCCTTCTTAGCCTCCGCCAACCCAACTTGATCCTCAACACCAGAGATACTCTTGCTGCGCCGAGACTTAGGAACCCGGAGCCAGCGCTCGTGCGGTTCATCAGGCGTAATGAAAACCACCTCCCACTTGCGTGTCGAAAGCAAATTGCCAATCACGAGGTGGTGGGAGTACCGCTGCAGCGCAGTTCGCGCTTTGTAGACAAGGAGCGAAGGATCCGTTTCCAGTTTAAACGAGACAACCATACTCCCCTCCGGAGCCCAGCCATCCACCAACTGATGCAGGAACTTGGGCACGGGGTCGAGGTCGATGACGAGCTTCCTGCTATTCGACGAGGGCTTTTCTTCGTTCTCACCCGTATAGATCTCATCCGAAGACACTGCACTCCCCCGCATGTGCGGAGGCAACTCACTAGACTGGATCTTGTGTTCTGCCATGCGACTGCGCGGGATGAAGAAATCGCTGACGGCAGCAGCAAGGTAGAAAAGCGCATCCGGACCAAGCGGCCGCATCAGCTTCGCAATTGACCGCAGTTCGAACATGTATTCCGAGACCGTCGTGAACGGTAATAGGAGAAGGCGGTTGTTCTGCTTCGCGTACCGGTATTTCCGCAACACGCTGCGCATCTGGTCTTGGTACTCGTCGCGCACCATGATAGGTCCATGGCCAGGGTTTGAGGAGTCCGCCGACGCCGGCCCCTCGTCCATGAAGTCCAGGAAGCAATTAGTCGAGTGGCTGTAGTGCCGCGAGTATGGTAGGAGACTGTACTGCCGGTGTAGGAAGATCACTGCGTACCCCTGCTCGAGGAAGTACTCGGCTGATGTGGCGCCGCGAGTTCCGGCGGAGAAGTTGTCGATGAACCGTACGGTTTGCGCTTCAAGAGGTACTGTTGTGCCTCCGGATGTGACGAGTACTACTCGCCGGTGTTCCTCAACGTGCAGGTCAATGAATGCGCGTGTTAGCGCTTCATGTCGCGGTAATGCCTTCGGCGGGGGGTATTCATTGAAATAGACGGATTCTGCTTCCGCTGGGGACATTTCGCCGAGTAACGGGGCCATTTGGATGAGATAGACACGCTTCGCGACGGAGAAAAACGATTGAACAATTTGAACAGAAGATCTGGCAGGTGAACTGCGGTTGATTGATGAGATGCCGAGGATGCCGCTCCGCGCCCTAACGCATTGGTGGGGTTGCAGTGGGTGTTCTTTGATGCCGGTCAACTTTCCACGATTGGCTGAGAGCCTGGCTTGTTCGCAATATCCGAGAATTTTTTAATGTTGTACACTTAACTTGCGTTTTCAAAGGCAACTAGCTAGCTAGGTTGAGCTACCCCTCCATCATTTGGTGTGGGGCGCTGAAACTGAACAGCTCGATCCGGCACTAGCGCTCCCGTTAGACCGATGCGTGACGGTGAATACTTGGAATATCTGAGTATAGGGAACTATGTCGGACAAAGTGAAGATATCCAGACTGTCACTATGTCACTGGTGCGCATCACCGAGATGCCGAGGTGCCACTCGGTCACGTGGATGCTATATACGGAACACACCTGCCCAGGTGGGCACCCCGCATGAACTACATCGTACAGACCATACTACATCGTGGAGTGCAATCTGCCAAAATAGATGTTCCTATCTAAGATGCATTTCACTGCAGATACCGGCTGCGCAAGGCTTGACTGATGGTACTCATCCGACTCGCCATTCCACCATGCTGCATGTTACTTAGAAGGGCTTCCTCCAGCGCTGACTGGGTGACACTTGCATCTGACCATTCGATCAGTTGGAATCCAGAATCCTCGGGTTTGGGACACATACCGTCGAGGTCACTGAAGCTGCTTCCCATGCTGGGGGTACCATCGCTAGCTTCGCGACCGGAGGCGGTGGACTTGCGCGAATTTTGGCGCTCGGCAGCGCTCTGAGGGCTGAGTATCGGTGCCCCTTGGCTGGTCCGTCTGGGCGCACCTGGTAGGCTGCTACGCCCGCCTGAGCTTATAGAACTGGTGGATGACTCCGTAGGAACCGGTACCCTGGGACCACGCTGCTCGGGATGTCGGCGTTGCGACGCTGCTCGCTCGGCATCTAATCGCAGGGTAGCGCTGAGTTCCTGGACTGGGTGCCCCCGATGGGTATGCTCGTGTTCTCGGGATAGGGGGAGAAATGCTGGAGTATCTTCTTCGTCGTCCTCGTCATCCCGAAGACCAGAGCGCTGGGTAGAAAATTTGCCAAACCGTTTAAACAGGGGTGCACGTCTGGTTGTGTCCTCATCGTCGGACCCTGATTCTTCCGAGGAGCTTGAGGATAGAGGCTCTTCCTCGAGTGGTGGGGATCGGGGCAAAGGCGCGACGGGTGGCTGTTCTCGTCTCACAGTCGAAGGCCGACGACCAAAGGAATCCCAACGTGATTCTTTGTCGTCGGTTGTTGGCGTGCCAGTGCGTGTAGGGTCCCGAGATCCGCGAGCGGGGTTAGTAGCTGTAGTCGATGTAAAGCTCGTACGTCGGTTGTCAGGGGCTGTAGTTAATGTCAAATGTGTTCGATCCATCGCGGTATCAAATATTCTGTACGACGACGGGTAGGGTCTCGGTCCATACCTCGTAGAGGGATATCTTTCTGTTGAGATACTTGCCGGGATGGCGCCCGGGAACCTATTGATCATCAGCCTCAGACCATAGTGAATATAAAGCAGGCACGGAGTATACCTGTTGCTGGCGTTTCTCTCTGTGGCTGTCCACTCAAGGCGGCACTGCCAGAAACAGATCCTAGAGCTGGGGAAGGGGATGTCGACTGTGTAGTGCCGACCTTGCGCATTTGAGCTCGAACCTGCGACAGCTGGCGATCATAGAGCCATGCCGCCTGCTGAAGAAGAAACTGCAAGGTGACATCGAAGTTCTCTGCCCTAAACCAACCATGTTAGCAGCCCTCAGGTTGGAAGTGCTCGGGGCGGAGTGCAGTTACAGAGCTTTCCCTGCGGTGATGTCAGCGATGTTGAAAGCAAAGCAAGCAGAAGCAACGCAAAGCAAAGCAAGCAAAAGCAATACATACAGTCTATGTCACCTTTAGATGGTCGAGAAAGAATATCCCATAGCGCTTGGTCTTTGGATGCATTCCATTCCACCTATTTACGTCAGTGAATATTCAAGAACTTTATCTTGGAAAGACTTACAGGCGGCGGGTCGACAAAGTCGCCCCTGGGAAATGGTAAGCGTATGAATACTGTGAAATTAGTGTCGACGGGGTCGACTTTGATGGACATCCTGTAAATTGCGCGTAGACTGCGATGTTGGAAGCGAGATCTTTCAGTGCTCCTGTCCAGCTCAGTAGGTAGTCTTTGTTTGGCTAATGAAAGCCGAGACTGATGACTCTATAATGAGAATGCTTGTTTGCCAGACAAGTTGGACTTCGAAAAGTATTTCCCAGAAGCAATAGATGCGATGGCGATGGGCGTTGGAGAGGAGCGTGACGACGGCAGGCGGTCATTCTGATTGGCAGCCAAGGTGCGTGGAAGGCAATGAGGCTCTGCGTGGAACTTTCCTAATGCGGGGAATTAAGAGCTAATTGATTGGAGATTCAATACCACCACGGGCGGTGGCATATATCGACGCACCAGAACATTGGCTTAGTTCACAACACCAAGATCGTAGAAGTAGAGTATTTGCAGAAGAATGGCGGATATAAAGTGTCAGGGTCAGTGGATAAGGTCACCCCAGTCAGTTCAATTGCCAGGGAAAAGTTACACTGTATACTGCATGAGTGCCTTGAAATTTGGGCATAAATATCGCTTATAGATGGTCTTTACTGATTATTATTGGATAGACTGGATATTAGAAACGAGAAGTAACCCATGTTAGTCGATTCCAAGTTAGTAGCTCCGGGCTAGGCTCTGCAAAATGTCAGCATAGACTAGAAGCGGGTGGAGATCAGCAGTGGCATCCTTAACCCCAGGCCTCGGCTCAGACTCAGCTTCAACATACTATATCCTCTCGTACCGACGACCATGGATATTCTCATATATTATTACAATAAATGCTTCGCGTTTATCATCCGGACATTCATGTACTTTGCTGTTGATGTATCGGCCAGTCCAGATGAGATTCGCCATATCAAGTCCCGGGATGCTGGCCGAACCATCAAGGTTCACCTGTATCAGCCTTCTGGCTCGGGCCCATCACCTGTCCTCCTTAACTTTCACGGAAGCGGCTTCGTGCTACCCCTCCATGGTGGCGACGATGAGTTTTGTCGACGAGTCAGTCACGAAACCAAACACACTGTCTTGGACGTCCCCTATCGCCTGGCACCAGAACACCCGTTCTCTGCCGCGCTGAACGACGTGGAAGACGCCATCAAATACGTGTTCACGTGTCCAGATGAATTCGACCTGACCCATGTATCTATATCTGGATTTAGTGCTGGGGGAAACCTAGCACTGGCAGCTGCGTCAACCCTCTTCCCTCGCGATACCTTCCGCTCCCTGCTAGCAATCTATCCCGTGACCGATCTAAGCCCTGGTGTTGCTTCGAAGATCGCCCCTGAACGTGGAGACTTTGTAATTCCTCTTCCTGTGATGCGCCTCTTCGACCGCTGCTATGTACCCTCATCCTTCGACAAGCGGGACCCGCGCATTTCGCCACACTACGCCCAGCCAGATCGATTCCCACAACGTGTTCTTATGATCACCGCAGATGGCGATACGCTCGCGCTTGAAGCAGAGGAACTGGCCCAGAAGATCAAGAAATTGCAAGGTTGGCATGTGGTCAGTGAGCGCATGCAGGGGTGTAGTCATGGATGGGATAAGAACGCGAGGGTCGGAACACCGCAATACCAGGCTAAAGAGCGAGCTTATCAACTGGCATTCGACATGTTGAACGAGTAGATATTATCCTTTTAGTAGCGAGCTAGTCCTATATCGAGACGGATGCTCCTGTCTGCATCTCCTGATATCTCGTGTTCTTGGCCTGGTCTATAGCATGATCCGTGTTTCCATTGGGCCGAGGCTATTTCCACAGCCCTAAGCCCTACCTTCCTAATATGGACAGAATCGAGGGGTTTGATAAAGGGGTGTTTTCCAGGGATCAAGTATAAAGTTGGAAATGCAGGTTGGCGCAGGCTATCTAGCCAAATACCGAGATGTTTATTGGTATAGTTTAATATTTCTCTGATACATTATATACCTATGTAATGTAAATAGTGTATTAAGAGTTATAGTTCTCTATCTCATACAGTATCCTGAAGCCGTCAAGCTTAGCCGTTTCAAAATAAACCCCATTGTCCCGGAGTAGAACCAGGGATTGCGTCAGGGCCACCCGTGGGTCGGTTTGATTATTTTTTTTTTAACCATAAATTGCCTAAAACGACAAAACATGAGGAAACAAGAACAGAGGCCACCGTCAACTGGTCTTTGTTTCCCCTTTCTTTCTGGCCCCTTTACCAGTAGCTTTGACCCTCTTACCTCCACCTCACCTTCACTTCTCATACTGTCATTACAACATCACAACCCCTCATCCTTGAAAATCCCCTGGATGCCGTCATAAAACGCATCCATGTGGAACATTATTATTCTTAGCTCTACCTGACCTTGACTTTCATGTGCGCCCGCTGGTTAGGCGCCCAATACCACCTCTTATAACTGTACATACAATGGAGTCGAGCGCTGGGCCCATCTTCGATGAGGCCCAATATCGCACCGATGTCCTCCACCACCCTTCACCGGAATCTGAAGCAGCGCAGGCGCAACACCTAGCCGAAGAAGCTCAACAGCTGGGTCTGAAAGTGCCCGAGATCGAAGCATCTGCGCTGCTAGCAGCCTCGATCGCCTCTGGAACGGTCGATCTCTCCTCACCAGTCCTGTCGTCTGGATCGTCGACCGATCGGAATTCGGTGTGCGGCTCCGTTACGCCGTCCCATGAGCCGTCCTCCCCGGTCCCATCCGTGCTCGATCAGATCGTGTCCTCGCTGTCGGATGTCACACTTTCCTCGGATCACATTAAGGCTGGCAGCACGCGATCGCTGGCTTCGCTGTCCACGCGCCCGACCTCGTTTGGCTCTAGCGAGGGGAGAACAGGCCTTATTGGGCACGGATATAATGATGCATTCGAGGCCAAGTCGCACCGGCATTCAATTCTCAGCGTCGCCTCCGCCGACAAAAAAGAGAAGCGACGGAGCAGCTTGAAGTCTGCCATTGGGAGAATTCAATTCCGCAAGAAGCGCACTTCTTCGGCCATTGTCTTGCCCTCGGAAGGGCACCTGACTGTATCCACCAGCGATAAAGGCGATGAACATGTTTTCTTTGGACCCACACCGGGACCTGATAATACTGCCCATGAGGATGTTCCAGCCAATGCGAGCAATGGGGTATCACTTCCCAGGTTGGAAATTCCCCGGTTCAGTAAAGAGGAGTTACAAAGAAGTCTGGACGATCCAGAGCTAAGTGAGATGCACGAGCGGCATCAGATGGAAAGGAACCGACATCTCGCTTTTCATGACGCCGCGCTGAGTACCCTGCGGCGTCGGCACCAGACAGCTATCTCAGAGCACCAGTCTGATAACCAGCGCCAAGAGGATGAGAAACGCGAGAATGTTCGTTTTACAAAATTCAATTGTTATTTTTTTCCTAGACTAACAAGCGCTTCACAGAACACCCAGGCCATAGCCCAAATTGAAGAGCGACAGTTGGCGGTAGAGATCGAACAGCAACGCGAGTTCGATCGAGCCAAAATGAACTCGCGTACACGCATCAAGCATATGGAGGGGTATCTCCGCAATGCCAGCCCACCACCATCTCCCGCCGGAACACCGACCAGGGCCGAACGATCCGAACGTTCATCAGCATCATTCTCGGAATCCGACTCAACTCCGCCAGCCCGTGTGTTCACTCGCCTACATATGGAGCAGCTAGAACAACAGTACCACTCCCACAAAAACATGGACCAACTTCACGACGCCCGCATCAAAGTTCTCCGTGACCGCCAAGAGCTTAAGCTGCAGGAAGCCACGGCGCGTATGGGAAAGGAACTGGATGAAATGTGTGACCGACACCTGCAGGATATTGCTGCCTTGCAAACCGAACACCAACAAGAAGAAGCCTCTCTTATGCAAGCCTTGGAAACGAAAAAGACGACTTTGCGGCACCGCTGGTATTTGGAAGAGGCTGTCCTACGCCGGCATCTCGAGGTGCGACATGGCCGATCATATGGTCCTTTGCCACTTGTCGCTTTCACCACTTCAAATACCCCCGTTGGCGTTACGGAACACTCACCACTCGAAACTTCTTCCACCCCGGATACAATCCATCCCAGCCAGGATTGCGTGCCTCTCTAACTGGAGACGATGACACGACGTCTACTCAATATACCCTTTTAATCACCCCTTCTTCTGCCCCTGTTATGCCCTTACCTTCTTGTAATAATTTTGTAGTCTTTTTGATTGACAGTCACATACACATACACGCATTGCGGCGGCTTTTTGGTCTCATGGTTGCATAGCATTTGGTGGAGACGATTGAATACATAGACATCCCAAGCCTGTTTATAAGATTGAATTTAGCTTGCAATGAAATTCAAATTCATATTGGGGTATCTCTTGCTGAAAAACAAAATAAAACAAACGCAGCAGCTCATAACCCAGGTGATCGAGACAACACATCAACCCTCAACCTATCCAAAATCGTCTCAACCCTCCCACCACCCCCAGTCATCGCATCCTCAACCTTCTTATCCCGACCTTCATCGCCAATAACAACAGCCCGCTCCACAATCCCAGCATTAGACAACTTAAACCGCCCAACCCGTCCATCCACCCATTCAACCCGCACATACCGCGCCTCGACCGCAACAGCAGCCAAAGACACAATCCCGGTATCTCGATCCGGGGAAACATCAAACGGCAAGGACCCCCCACCCTCACCAACGAGACCCAATTTCTCACGCAGGAACTCAACTGCATCGACACGCATATGCCATGCAACAAGCTCCCTCCGAAGCTCGCGCACAAACCCCCGCAGATCTTGTTTCCGGGCAGAGCTGCCGCTCTTCTTCCACGGCTTCGCGGGCTCAGCGTCCTCGTCTTCGCCAGATGAACTTCCCCGATGACCATTCCCATTCTCGCGCGTTACACCAGGACGCGGTAGGTAGACACTCTCCAGCTTTGCTATCGATATAAACCCCGGCACTGTGTGTCGATACACCTTCAACATCTTCGCAGAACCCGAGACCGCACGATTGTGCTCATGTTGGAGGATTATGTAGTATGGTTTCGCGAAGCGGCCATTGCGCGCGCATACGTCAATGCGCACGCCGAGAAGGGTCGCGGAGCCAGCCGTTGGGGATGGGTCTTTGAATGGGAAGGCTGTTGCGCCGAAGGCAATGCGGTGGTGATTTGAGGAGGTGTGTGCGCCAGCGCTGTGGACGATGGGGGAGATTGTTGTCAGGGGGTCGGTTGGGTCCGTTGTTGTGGGGGGTTGGGGTTGCTTGCGCAGGAGTTTTTGGATTGGGTCGGTTGCTAGGAGGCTGGATGTGAGGAAGCGTTTGTGCTTTTGGAGGTTTTGGACTTGCTTTGGGTTAGCTTTGGGCTTTGGTCTTGGATTTTGATTTGCGATGCTTACTTTCTGCGCGAATTGAGGCGATCTCTGTCTCTAGTTCCTCTTCTTCTGGGTCTGGTGATGCGGGGACGCGAGATGTGCTTGTTGTCATTCTGGATATTACTTTGTGGAGCCAGGTAGGGTTTTCAAGGCGATCATGGGGATTATTCCCCTGCAATTTTGTCATAGAAGGTAAGCTAGATTGCGCAGTGGTGGGGATTGCAGTTGTTTATTCGTGGCACGTGACCACATTAACATCTAACGCGATTATGCAGAAGCTTGGGCTCAGTAGACTAGGATTGTTAGATTAGTTCTTTATTATGCAAGATCTGAAAAGGTCCCAGAGACTAAACCTCAACGGTGTTATTGAGGTTTTGGTTTATGTAGATCTGATAGGTCTGATATAGTATAGGCTTACCCTGCAGTCCTACCGTGTTGACGTGGTGACCTCATAGTGTTAAGTGCTGTATGTGTAACAAGAGAGAATACATATCAAAAGATCAGATTCAGATCCATCTAACCTGTCCATGTTCGACCATTTTCTACAAGACTAAATAAGACCCTGCACTGGCTCCCCGGATCTGCAGCCACAGCCAAGAGGCCAGCTTGCCTCATGTTTTTTGTCATCCTGCGGTTCGGAGATCCCCCACCAAACATCTACTTTTGAGGTTTCTTTCTTTTCATATCCCTCATTCACTCCTTCATTCCCGGTGCTGTGAAACATACAGGATACTCAGGGTATCTAAACCTGGCCCATTCGAAACCGAACCCTCGCTCCATCCCTTTCACCATTCAACATCATAATATCCAACTTCAGTCCTCGATTCAATCAGGACGAAGTTGACGCAGGTGATATCTTCCTATCATAACATAGCATTCAATGACACGCAAGAACGCTACCCTCTCGAAGCGCCGCTCCAAAGCGAACCTGACAGTTGCTACCGGCTCAAACGGACATGCGAATGGCAAGATGAATAACAACATCGAAATGCGCAGGAGGGACACGCCCTCCTCGGAGACCTCAGCCGAAAGAACAGCCCAACTTATGTCACGAACCAGCTTCTCCCTCGACAATGAGCCGATCGTGCCTCAGACCCCAGTCCAGACGAATACAACTTTCCACAACCTACCACGCAGTGATCGCCGCAACTTCCTGCTGCTGGTCTTGCTATACTTCCTCCAAGGAATTCCTATGGGCCTAGCCACCGGTTCTGTGCCCTTCCTGCTCAAGCCATACCTCTCATACGGCCAGATTGGAATCTTCTCGCTCGCCTCATACCCATATTCGCTCAAATTGTTTTGGAGCCCTATTGTCGATGCAGTGTGGAGTACGCGCTTTGGTCGACGCAAGAGCTGGATTACCCCCGTGCAGGTGATTGCCGGATTGGCTATGATCTATATGGGCGGCCACATCGAGGAGATGATGGTCCAGGCCGGCGCGGATGGCGGCGCGGGTGTCTGGAAATTCACATACTGGTGGTTTATGTTGGTGCTTTTCTGTGCCACCCAGGACATTGCCGTGGACGGATGGGCTATCACTTTGATGTCCCCGCCTAACATCTCCTACGCTTCAACCGCCCAAACGGTTGGATTGACAGCGGGCCACTTCCTGTCCTACACTGTCTTCTTGGCTTTCAACTCGAAGGACTTTGCCAACAGATGGTTCCGAACCATCCCCGGAGATGGCGGTCTGTTATCACTCGGCACTTATCTCAACTTCTGGGGCTGGGCTTATCTGATTGTGACTTGCGGTCTGGCCTTCCTCAAGAAAGAAGAACGCACCAAGGAACGTGACAGCATTATGGATGTGTATAAAAGCATGTGGAGCGTTCTGAAGTTGAAGAACATCCAGACCATCATTGTGATTCACCTGATTGCCAAGATCGGCTTCCAGGCCAATGACGGTGTTACTAGTCTCAAGCTCCTGGACAAGGGCTTTGGCCAAGACAACATGGCCCTGGTGGTGTTGATCGACTTCCCCTTTGAAATTATGCTGGGCTACTATGCAGGCCAGTGGTCAACCAACTACGGAGCAATGCGCCTCTGGGGCTGGGCCTTTGTCGGACGACTGGCAGCCGCCGTACTCGCCCAGTTGACCGTTATGATCTACCCCACAGCCTCGGAAGTGCCAATGTGGTACATGCTCACGGTAATTGGCGAGCATGTCCTCTCAACCTTCATGAACACGGTCATGTTCGTCTCCATCTCGGCCTTCCACGCCCGCATCGCCGATCCAGCCATTGGCGGGACATACATGACTCTCCTTGCAACGTAAGTCCTACTGTCTGCCCTCTCCTTCCCCCAATAGACCATGCATATAGTTGCTAACATCTCACGTCCAGCGTCTCCAATCTGGGTGGAACATTCCCCCGTATCTTCGTCCTCAAACTCGTCGACATGTTCACTCAAGCAACATGCCTTCCCCCAACCATCGCCCCACCTGCCGACTCCCTCAAAGACGCCTTTATCACGACGCCATTCTCCTGCGCCCTCGAGCCAGAGAAGAACCGCTGCGTCAACGGGGGTGGTACCTGCCACATCGACCGTGATGGGTACTATATGACTAACGTGCTCTGTGTGCTCATTGGCACGCTCACATTCATTATGTTTATCAAGCCGGCTGCCCAGAAGCTGCAGGACTTGCCTCTCCGGGCTTGGCGGTTAGCGTCTAACCCCCAGCGGGGATGATACAGTTCCTCTACCGTGGTTTTTGGTGTCCGTGACGGCCTATAATGTCTTCGTATACCCCCTGTCTGGGATATTCTATAGATTGAATAAATAAATAATTTAGATAATCTGGCATTCTTTTTTAACGCTTGAGTGCTGTTTCGACGAGATCACTAGCGGACACAAGCACGTGACCAAACAGACCAAATGAGCTCCTGGGCAGGGTGGAACAACCTTACTAGTCAACTCCAATAGAATTTGCGATCGCCCACCAACACCGGGTAGTGCCCGTGCTAGCCCCAGGGGCTTGGCACGCTACTGGTCCAATACTGTTAGCTCTCACCCCATTTCCCTCTTCTCGGCCTTTGTACATAGCAGAGCACTTCAAGGGATGCCATCATGCTGTCTTTTATCCGTTTCGCTGGCACATATGGTCATCACTCTGGGCTTTTATCTCCGGTTTCATTACGAGGATCAATCTATTCCAATACCAGCTTAGCAAGACGGCAAGACCAACTCTCGACGAAGATGTTGAATTTGGAGGCACAGAGACACAGTTCCAATATGCCAGTGAGCAAATAATGCCACAACTACCTCCTACTAATTTGATTACGCAGTATTTCAGATCACCCGAAGAGCCAACCAACTTCGTCGTCGAGCGCCCAACCATCGAACGGTCTGGTAACAAGAGAATCGTACACGTAAAGCCACCACCGAATTGCATTCCGCTTGGTTTTTTCCGGAATCATTTGTGAAGTCGATGAAGATAGCATTGTGAAACACCTAAAGGTCATTCCGAATAATGATCCATACAATCAGATGTTCCGCGAGATGATCATTAACGAGAGGCTGATCTACGAGCGTCTGGGATGTCACAGGGGGATTATTTCGTACCTAGGTGTCCATAATGAATCGACCGGTGCGATCAAGTTGGCATACTCAAGGCAGGGAGATCTGCAACATTATAATAAGAACAATAATGAGCCATCTGAAACAATTCGCGCCATATGGATCAATCCCTACTAGAGACGTTCTGGTATATCTATTCTCGAAAAATTCTCTACTAAGATGTTAAGCCCAACAATATACTTGTTGAGAATGGCAGCTTGAATGTCGTTGACTCCGCTAATTCTGTAATGCATGCATTAGATGCTGATATAGAAGATATCTGGGCGAGAGATCTATTGCCACGAGTTAATATACTCGGCCTTAGATGTATCATTTATTCTATTGCAGTATGGCGAGTCTTCTACTATAACTATTTTGAACATGATCGCTGGCTAGAGTGAGAAAATCTCGCAGCAATAAGTGACCTACTCTATAAGGATATCATTAATAAAGGCTGGAGGGACAGCTATAGCAGCATAATATCGCGGTATAAAGACTTCAATGATTTTGCCGGCACGGAGCGGTTGTGACATAAGAGGGGATAATAAATCCATATCATTCCACAGTTGTAGAGGCGGCACTCGGACGAGAACATGTCGCCAATGATCTAGCGTTCCGTAGTCAAAGGCGTAGCGGCTGCTATCGTCGAGCTACCGATTAAGACCTATCTCAGCCTCGATCTCGCCCTCGGTCTTTATATCTTCGTATTTTCGTCCAGGTCCTCATCGCAGCAAGCCCGAAGCCATGCTGTCTATATACTACCTTCTTTTGCACAAATATTCCGCTTATAGATCGACTGGCGAATGCTCAAAATTTGGATATGCTCATTTGTAGAATCAGGCGAGCGTATCTGAGTAAGGACTAATCTCCCTCTAATATGATAGCTCTAACCGAATGTTAGTATAAAGTCGAGGAACTCGGCTACCTAGGTATAGGGCTAGATAAGTGGATCACAACTTTTGGTATCTCTACGCTACTTGCTCCTATTGCTAGGGGCTTTTCTTTACCTCCTGGGGCCAATGTTCCTATTTGGCATTACTTGACATAAATCTTTATGTTAAGGAGTGTACGTACTATAACATAATAATCAAATGGCAAGGCAGAGTACTAGGCTCCCTCTTCTAAGACTTCTTCCGGCATTACCTTACCCGGAAGTTGCTTGCTAGGTGCTAAACGAGAGTATGTTTCAAGGTAAACGAGTGCCTAACGCGGGATATAAGGTAGAGAGCGAAGCCCGCGTTTATGAGTTCCTAGATAGTATATGTCAGCCGGAAATACACTTCCCCGTCCTATCCTTTCCTATATTTACTTTCTAGCTATAGGGTGTTATGGACATGTTAGTTGCCAATCGATGGCGGCCCCACATGTTACACGGACGGACCGCCGAGGACCAATTAACTAAACTGCCTGCCCATACCGCCTGCCTATTCTCATTCGGGGGGCGATAATGAAACAGACTAGACCCAATTCAGCTAGACACTGATAACCCCCACTGTGAAAGTAGTTGTAGAATATCTGACAAGACGGTTAAATTATACGTCACTTACAGCTACCATCTCCAAGCATTGTTCTAAAGATAGAAGAGGCACATGATGAAGATCTAAGCGCCCAAAGGGTCACATGATAGTGAGGCTGTGATGGTCTTCCATTTTCTGGGAGATAAGACAGTTGATCTGCCCAAAAACACAACTTGAAGTGCACCGCCCATTGACTATGACTTCCATATCGGTTAGCTTTGGGGGCATAAACTCGGGTAACCAGGTGGGGATCAATTACGGATCGATCCATCTGCCCCAAGGTAGGTTTCACAAGCCATTACAACTTTAGGTCAAATTATCTAATCTGTCTTGGCATAGAGCGACCACAAACCCCACCTCCCCCTCTATCGACCGTTCCGTTCCGTCGTGACCCAGACTTTGTCGATCGTGGATCGCTGCTTGATCAGATATACGAAAAAGGGACTACCCCGGGAGCCTGGATAGCGCTTGTTGGGCTTGGTGGTGTCGGGTAAGTGGAGATGGTCAGCAGATTATTGGTCACTGCTAACCTATCGAAAGGAAATCTCAACTTGCGATCGAATGCTGTTACCGAATCCGAGAAAAATCGCCCGAGACGTGGGTGTTATGGATTCACGCAGGCAACGCCGCTCGTTTCGAGCAGAGTTGCCGGGATATCGCCGACCGAGTCAAGATCACTGGGCGAACGGATCCCACCGCCAATATATTCAAACTCATTCACGACTGGCTTGTTGAGGAAAGAGATAGAAAATGGGTTCTCATTCTTGATAATGTGGATGACAGCTCTTTCCTCCACGAAGTTCCACCGGTTGGCCAGGGCAAGCAACAGAGTGGTCAAAGTGGTGCGCCGCCAGGGCGACCACTGTTGACATATCTCCCGATTAACCACAATGGGACAATGATTGTAACATCCCGAAGCAGAAGCGCAGCAGTTACCATAGTGGAAGAAAGCGATATAATTCAGATAGAACCGATGGATCTGTCACACGCAACGATGCTGTTTGAAAAGAAGCTAGGAGCGCAAATCGAGAAGGGAAACATCATTCAGCTCGCTACTGAGCTTGATTACATGCCACTTGCGATCGTGCAAGCCGCATCCTACATCAAGCAGAGAACGCCACGTGTTTCAGTGCCACAGTATCTCGAAGATTTTCAGAAGAGCGACCGTAAGAGAACCAGCCTTCTTGCTTATGACGGGGGCCAGCTGCGTCGTGATTGGGAAGCGAAGAACTCCATCCTTATTACCTGGCAAATATCTTTCAACCACATAAAGCAAACTCAACCGGCAGCAACCGACCTTCTGTCACTTATGAGTTTCTTCGACCGCCAAGGCATTCCTGGAACTCTGCTTCAACACCGGCTAGCGAAGGGACATGACGATACAAACATAAATTCGGAAGCCGAGATAGACATATACGATGATGACAAGAGGTCTAAAACAAATTCTGGCGTGGACGATGACTTTGAAGAGAACATTATGATGTTGAGAAATTACTCGATGATTTCTACTAGTGTGGATGGTGCCACGTTCGAAATGCATCGGCTAGTGCAACTTGCTATGCGGAAGTGGCTGGAGGTCCATAGACAACTCGAACATTGGAAGCAAAAATTCATCGAGATACTTTTTTGTGCATTTCCGACCGGAGATTTTGACACTTGGACGGTGTGTCAACCGCTTTTTTCACATGTACAATCTGCTGTCGCGCAACGACCGGATGAGGAGGGTACATTGAAAAAATGGGCCAGCCTCCTCTATACGTCCGCATGGTTTGCGTATACAAAGGGAGATATTATTGAGTGTGAGAAGATGGCGGTTTTGGCTATGAAAACAAGAGAGAAATTGTTCGGTCCACACAACGAGCAAACGGTCAATAGTATTGGAATGACAGGGCTGGCATATATACTTGGTGGGAGATGGAAGGACGCGGAAAGCTTGCAGTTGCAGCTGATGGAGACCCACAAGCGGATGCTCGGGCCAGAACATATTTCCACTCTAACTAGTATGCACAACCTAGCGTTGACCTACTTACATCAAGGACGATGGAAGGAGGCCGAAGAGCTCTACCTGCAGGTGATAGAGGCCCGTAAACAGGCCCTAGGACTAGAGCATCCCTACACTCTGACCAGCATGTCTAACCTCGCGTCGACGTACCGGAATCAGGGACGATGGAAGGAGGCCGAAGAACTCTACCTGCAGGTGATAGAGGCCCATAAGCAGGTGCTAGGGCTGGAGCATCCTGATACTCTGACTAGCATGGCCAACCTCGCGTCGACGTACCAATATCAGGGACGATGGAAGGAGGCCGAAGAGCTCTACCTGCAGGTGATAGAGGCCCATAAGCAGGTGCTAGGGCCAGCGCACCCCCACACTCTGGCTAGCATGGGCAACCTCGCATCAATATACCAGAATCAGGGACGATGGAGGGATGCTGAAAAATTCGAGGTACATGTGATAGAGACCCGCAAGGAGGTGTTAGGGCCAGAACATCCTGAAACTCTAGTAAGCATAGTCAACCTCGCATCGACGTATCAGAATCAGGGACGATGGAAGAAGGCTGAAGAGCTCCAGGCCGAAGGACTCAAGCTATGTTCTCAGGTGCTTGGGCCAGGGCATCCCTACACTCTGACCAATATGGCAAACCTAGCATTGACCTACCAATATCAGGGACGATGGAAGGAGGCCGAAGAGCTCTACTTGCAGGCGATAGAGACCCGTAAGCAGGTACTAGGGCTAGAGCATCCTGATACTCTGACCGGCATGGGCAACCTAGCCTCGACTTACTGGGACCAGGGTCGATGGAAGGAGGCTGAAAACTTACAGCTGCAAGTGACGGATACCCTCAAGCAAGTGCTAGGGCCAGAGCATCCTAACACCCTTACTAGCATGGCCAACCTAGCATTGACCATCTTGGATCAGGGAAGATGGAAGGAGGCCGAAGAGCTTAACGTGCATCTGATGGAGACCCGCAAGCAGGTTCTCGGGCCAGAGCATCCCGACACTCTGACCAGCATGCATAATCTTGCTCATACCTTGAGGTCATTAGGTCAATTTGGGTCTGCTTTGTCATTGATGACGGAATGTGCCCGACTCCGCGGCCAAATATTAGGCCCTGACCACCCGGATACTATGTCTTCAACATCTGCTCTCAATGGATGGGATGACATGGGTAACGCTCCGTTTACCCTAATTGATGGACCTACCGGAATTCAAATGGCAGTTCAAAATCGAGCCATTTCCGCGGAGCCCCCTGAGAGAAATTCTAAGAATGGCAGACCTCGTAGGCGAACAGTCTTATCTCGCCTACTCTTCTGCAGAAAGTAAAATCTCACCTCAAATTTGAACGACTTTATATTTCTTTCCATGCAGTCATATATCTGACCTTTATTAGCATTGTAATCAGTAAAATCCATATTTGTCGAATAGCTACAGTAGCATGCCAAAACAGCCCGCATCCGAACTTTCGCTGAAAGACCGTTTGCTAAAAGCATTAGGCGGCAGTCCTTGGCTCTCTAATCCATTTGTATGAAAAGTTCTAGAAGCTGGGTAATTCATCGACCGTATTCTAGCTGATGTTTCGTACCATACATTGAAATCATCACAAAGCAGGGATCACTTTTACTTTAACCAGATTTAGAGTTTTAGAGAGGGTTGAAGAAATAAATTACGTGTGTTTATTGTGGAAGCCAATTTCGAATATTACTGTATCAGGGCATAGACAGCGTGGACGGAACCAGTACAGAGATAGAGCAAGCCGAATCATCTGCTTGGGCTGCGCGCCGAATCCGTCAGGCACCATCACGAATGCATCTATCACTCCACTCGTCTTCCACCGAGCCCTAGTCTACAGTGTAAGCTACACGTGAGACCCCCTCCGTCGTTCCTGAGCTAAGAAAGCGCTCATTTGCTAAGTTGCTGAATGAGTTGGTCGCCTTTATTCCCCCGATATCAGGTCCGGACGAACCGCACCGGAGCATATCCCACGGAACCATTGGGAATCAGGGTCTGGACAATATTGTATCCAATGAGAGCCCAGTAACTTCGCGCCTTTTCCCCAAGAAAATCTTATCCGAGACCCCACTACGGAGTACTGATTTTTCCTTGGCCAAGTTGTTTCAGCTGCTTTTTGGCTGCAGCTAAAAGGAGGTGTCCTTGAGCCTATGGAGTCTCGACTGCCCGCCAATGAATGTGATTGGATCTGCTGGCTCCGCTTTTGCAGGTGCGGTTTTGTACTAAAATAGTCTGACTGGGATGGGAGTGGTGTTTTAAAAAGAAGCAATTCTGCGTTTCTGCATATTTCAAATGAAGATTTTACTTCAGCATATTCCTAACTAATATTAATCCCTAATTTTGTTTCTACCAACTACAGTAAAATGAAATTCCTCACCGTGTGCTTGACGCTCATTAGCGTCTCTCCCTGGATAGTGAACGCACTGCCCAGCCCTGAAGACCTCACAGTCCTTGCCTACAGAGCCGTACGTTAAACTAATTGGATTCCTATGTAGTCAAACCTGCTAATATTTCATAGTGGGATCTCCGTTTCCTCAGTGAAGCGCCCCCGGTTTGCAACAGCTCCGTGAACAATATCGAATACTCCATTCTCCACTATTCTGGCGCGAAACGACGTGACTGTCTGGTATTGAATGTTGCCAAATTCAACTCGACAAATGTCAAGAGTATCTCATGGAAGAGCCCCTCGGAGGTGAACCGATATGATCTTTGCATGTTCAGCTCTCCTAACTGCTCCGGGGGGGAGGATAGTCTGCTGGGGAGCATTACCAATGGCTGGGATGTGTGCTATCTGTACAATGGGTTTGAGTCGTGGAGTATTATTCCGAACGGGGATGCTTGTGTTCCAGATGAGGAAGGCGGGGAGGAATAGATGGGCATGATCTGACAATTGGAGAAATATTGATTCTGCGTGGTGTATAGTGTGTATATCAAACAGCCGTTTAAAAGGTTGGGCATGCTATTTATCGAATAGATAAAGTGCAGGTGATGAATGGAGTTGCGATCAATGTAATTAGACTCAAGAATTGTCAAGTATATGTATGCTTTATATCGTTGAGGGGAGTGAAGAGTGGAGCATGGACATCGACTGGCCCCTTAGAGCTCGCTAGAGCTTCTAAGAGCTGAAAAGTCCCGCTACCAGTCAAAGTGTCCGATGTTATCGGGCCTAGGGTATTCCCGCAGCGTGACCCAACTCACTGGGCTAGGGTGGAGGTGAATTGTATGAAAAGAAAGGCCAATAGCCCGAAAGCAAGTGCAACAAGAAGTCCGCATAACAGCATTATTTCTCATCATCCCGCTGCAACTCTCGGACAGCGGAATCAAGAACGAGCCTAGCATACCCACGATGCAACCTCAAAACCCAAGCTGGAATAATCTTCTGTTTCTCCAGCTCACCCTCTGAACCCACAAGCTCATAATCATGCGCACTTGCAAAACGCACCTCAACAAACATACCCTGGCCATTCCTCTGGAACGGCTCAGAAACACTCATCTCATGTCGCACACACGACATCAAGCGCCAAGGATACCCCCACCTCGCAATCTTCTCAAAGAACTCGCGGGGTTTGTCTGGCAGTTCCAACGAGACCAGCAGTCCATTACTATCTGCATCAGCGGCCGGGACTCGCTGCACTTGCAATAAACCGTTCAGCAGAACGCGCGGCGCACCGGTGGCCTTGTCCGGCGAGAACCCGTCTGCTGAGTTGCCTGTATCGCACGGTATGAAGCGGAAGCTGGTGAGTAGTCCGAGGAGAGAGCCCTCAGCTCGTAGGACCTTGCTTCCGAGGACGGATCTAGCCCAGGCATATTCGAGCTCTGTTTTTGTTGGTGTCTTTGGGCTTCGGACGCGTGCTTCGAGGGCTTGCAGGGGTATTTGTGCTGCGTAGATGTCGGTATATGCGCAGCGGCGGTTATTTGGGCTCTGTGGTTTGCGGAGTGCTCTGCTCCCCGCTGCGTGGGGAAGTGCTGGATACTTTTCTTCCAGATGGCTGAGTCCACGGTGAATGCTGTAGCCGGCTATGCCGGTGGCGGCAGTTGTATAGCCTAGTAGGCGGAGGGAGAGTCTGGGCATAGCTGCGAGTGCTCAGGTTACGTAGGAAGCTTCGGTGGATTTGAAATGGAGAAAGCGAGGCCCCCTCGTTGCTAACTGCTTTGGGCACATCATCTGATGCGCTTGGGGGCCAAAGGAAAAAGGAAATGTTGACCCAGCATTGCATTGGTCGTTGCATGCTACCACTTGCATCTCAATATGTGAAATTCCTATGATTGAACTGGAAGATATGTTAATATAATATACAAATTCAAGAAAATCTAAGAGGTAAACATACTACAATCGTAGACATTATGGATCGACGGATCGCCCCGACCCGCTCCAACACCTTTCAGCCTTTTCTCCGAATAGTCGTCACGCTGACAGGCGATATCTCGATAGACTTCCTTGAAATTTATTTCCGTTCCAGCAGAAATGACGGATCCCAAAGCCAGAGTTTTTACAGATGGAAACTCGTATTATGCGAACAATTCCTCAACTGTCATTAATCCCTTCTAGTCGCTATAAGGGACACTCCCTATTTCAAGTGAAAAGCATCGACCCGAAAGCAAAATGATCTGAACTTATGCCGATTTCATTACCAGGCTCGGACAAAAACAGTGAAAACAGTGAAAGGTTACTAGTCTAACACCGTCTCTAGGTAAGTAGGGTTGATTGAATAGGATTACCTAAATAACAGTACCTTCCCAGGTCCATGCGTTCCCTAATACCTCACAACAGGTCTCTAGCAAGAAATATTTCAACAAGAATAGAGGGAACAATTGCCGAATTGTGATGTCAGCTTGAAAAACAACGAAGGCTACTAGAAGGGCCAGAGCGCTGTCAAGAGAGAGACAAGTGCGAGAAGAGGCCCAGGTAGACCTGCATCTTCGTCTACCACAATCCAAGGATAACGGTTATAGCGGGTCTTTGTTTCCCGGCTTTGCTCCGGATCTGTTCAAGACGAGAGCATATTGGATGGTCGCCATCACAGCTCGTGGCTAGGCCCCAAGATCATCTGGGCCTCGATACGACTCATCTCATCCTCCGGATCCTCGATGATCTCGTCACCGTCATCCTCTGGACCGCCTTCAACGGGCCATTTCCTCTCAACATTGGCAAATCTATTATCGATCCAGAGCCAGGCTCTCGGTAGGCCTAAAATGCCACCGGTATGGTCCAAACCAGCGAGGGTAATGTGTCTCACCCTCGTCCAAGTACGCCTCCTCCACTTCCTCACCAATTCTGCTGTGTCCTCAATAGGTTTCGTGATCTCATCTTTGTCACCATTGAAGATCATCAACGGGTACCATGGTTTATTTTTCCATGTAATATTCCTCCCCATCACCCCAATGTCTTCCAGTGTACCCTTGAATTCCTCTAGGAAGTAGTCGCCCTGTTTGAAGAAAGATGAGATATTGGCACCGGCTAGCCCCTGCGTGATCTCTCCGCAAGTCAAACTGCATTTTGTCAGAGGAGAGAGAAATAGCTTTTTCGCCTCCTCATCTATGAAATCATCACGTATAAATTTGTCCACTTTAGGGAAGGCGCTCATCACCCCCAGCACGGCCGCAACGTTCAGCTCGGCCAGTTTGCCATTGTTGGCATTGTGATAGGTTTTGACGACATTCGGGGGAGGAGCACCCATCACGGCACCGACAATGGGTAGATCTCGCGCGTACCATGCACGTTTCTCGGTAGCCCACTCCGTGGCAAAGGCGCCACCAGAGTAGCCGAACATGATGACCTAGCATCGGGGCTGATTTTTGCATCCGGGTTGATATCGGGGTGCTCTCTGGACTTCAAAACTGCGCGGATCGAATCCAACGTCTGGAAAGCGCTCGTCGGGCCCACGGTAAACGACGCGTTTGAGCCTTCGTAATCAGGGATCTCATCACTGGGCCCTTCTGGAGGTAGCGCGCCATGAAAGCCAGGTTTAGCTTGTTCCAAGAGGCACCCCAGCCCTCGGCCTGAAACTGGAGTCCATATGAGGGGCCACAATTGACATCGGCAGAGTCATACGCGTTCTGGACAGAGAGCACCCTCTTGAAGTTCGGACGGACAGGAACGATGACAGTTGTGACTGAGGCATCTGCTTGGCCGTGCATATTTTGTGTGCGATATAGTAATTGATATGCCTTGGCCTTGCTGGGGGCGTAGGGGAGCAGAGAAGTGATGGTGACATTACGGACTTTCAGAATCGTCCCGAGTTTTTCATCTTTCCAAGATTCACCATCCGGCTCATAGAATGGATCTTTGCTTGGCAGCTGAGGCTTAGCCAAGATGTCTCCATGGGCAGAACCAAATGCATGTTGGATCCCAATGACCAAAAATGGGAGTAAGAGCGACAAAAATCGCATCGTAATTTAAGTAAATGCTCTTGTAAACGATTCACGATCAATAAAAGAGATAAAGCTCTGGATTCTGATTTTAAAGATATTGGTAGACCTCAGTTAGCAGAGGCGAATAGCTCATATTAATAACCGTCGATTCCTCCCTGCTTTTTGCTGTGATCGAGTTTGCATTTCATCTCCTTTAACGAAATCAAGAAGAGGCTGGCTGGAGATACATATTTCATATGCATGCAGTCCATCTTTTGTTACGCGAGCTGAAAGATATGTTGTTAGATGCGCGGGAAAGGCAATGATAGACTGTCTAGGGCTTTGAGAATGCGATTATCACACTTGATTAAGCTGCTTTGGGCAATCGATGTTACACTGCAGCGTCAAGTCTCTGCAGGTTTTATTGAGCTAGTAGACGTTAATATCGATTCAGCTGGCTTATGTTCTCTACTCACAAGAGATATAATGTGGATAATAAATAATAGAGATAAATACATCATAGATACGTACTCCGCAGATAATGTAGATCAAGGATCTAAAAGACTTTGGACTGAATTCATTTTTGCCGGCAATCCTGAGATAGTATGTAGGGGATGAGTTGACATGAGTTGGCCAAATATACTGACCGGAACGTGGGATGTCACTCGCAATTTTATTGCATATGGTATACTTGATTATATAGATGATTATTATTACTTTTTTGCGGTAAACTCTAGCATGCCTTGAAGAGCGCATGGGACTGCTCGCATGAAGAGGGGACTCATTTGCTATTCTTTAGCAACTTTGTAGATTATCTTTATTTTCAGAGCGTCGACAGTGACCCGTATAAAAATGAGAGCGAAGGTATCCTTGTGTTACTCTGCACGTATAGCTCGCTAATTTCCATTTCATCAACAGGGGACTATTCAAGAAGTACATTTAGAGCAGGAAGACATTCCCGAACTAACCTTTACGTCTATATCGAACAGGTACTGTTGTAACTACACATATTCGCTCATCTACTATGTATCTATATCAAACTACCTGGCTATGGCTACATATGTATATAATAAAACCTATCGAATAACTAAAGCTCTTAACAAACCCGATGTAAGTAGACTTCAGTGGATCAACGGATCCCGCCGACCCGCTGCCTCTTCTTTTTTTCTTCGATGACCACCATCTCACAACCAACAACCCTACAAAGTCCAAGTAAATAACCCATACCGTCTGGGCAATGACAAACACAGACTCATCATCCGCCCAGTCTGCCCCACCCTCCCCAGCAACAACAATGTCAACCCAAGACAACCCCGCAGTCGACAACTCCCTCGACGACATCTTCGGCTCCTCCCCACCGCAAGAAAACACCCTGAATGCACCACTCCCACCAACCACAATCCCCCAGTCAACCGAACCCTCCGACCTCCCCAGTCTCCGTCGCCAACACGTCACAGCAGGCTACCGCGACGGCACGTCTGCCTCCAAGGGCGCGCACGTGCAAGAAGGCTTCGACGGAGGCTTCCCCGTCGGCGCGCAGCTGGGTATGCGCGCCGGTACTGTACTGGGCATTATGGAGGGACTGCTACGTGGGTTCGAGCAGCGGAGTGGGCCGGGTGTTGTGAAGAAGCCGGTGCGGGGTCAGTCCACTGCTGTCACGGGGATGGACGGTAATACCGAAATTGGGGAATTGCGTCGACAGAAGAGGGAGCAGCTCCGGGTGTTGTATGAAGCTGCGCTTAAGGAGCTGGATGTGCAAGCTGTTTTTGCTGGGGCTGATGGTGCGTCGGAGGTTGCGCCCAGGGCGGAGGATGGGGAGGAGGAACGGGCGGAGATACAGCTTGGGCGGAAGGGGGATGTTGTTGTTGCGAAGTGGGAGGGGAGGGTTGAAGTTCCGAGGTGGGAGGAGAATATGGAGGCTTTGGAGATGAAGAACGAGGAGGAGGGCAAGGGCAAGGGCGCAGGTCAGGCTGTGGAGCACAGTTGAAGTTGTCTTGGATTTATGCAGACATGCTTACGGCTTGCACTATGTGTTTGTCATGGATACGACACAGGGCTGTGACTTGTCTGGAGATCTACATAACAATGCCCCGCCAGATTCAGGGATGGAGGGAGGAAAAGGTCTCCTCTCATCTCGCATATGCGAATGCAGGATTAAGTTCCTGCAGAGATGGGCCGGTCGAGTGTCTCTCGGGGTCTCCGCTGCTCGATCCCCGCTGCAGGATCATCCCTGCCGCGGCGATGCGAGTATCGAAATTCTTGGAACAGTCTCCGCTGCTACTGCAAGGTTGATGCGACGGACGGGAGGGGCGGAAGGCCGGTCCGGGCTGTGTGTCCTGAGTTGTTTGGGATAGAATGGTCGTGCTTCTCTAAGACACCGACGCTGGGGTCTCTGCACACTACTGTAGACACGGCTGTTGCCATGGTGGTGTCGCAGGTTGGATCTGGTATCGGATTTTACCTTTTCTGCGGTTTCTGAGACATTTCGCCAGACTTGGGATAACACCCAACAGCTCAATTTTGTTCAATGTATTCTACAAATAGAACTGAATTTGGCAAAGCGAAAAAGGCAAAGTGCAAATGGCGCCTCCCTGTCAAACACGAGGCAGAAACGACAAGTCATATGTCACACATTGTAGCCCTACGTGTCCTATGGAGGCATCTCACAAACGAAAGTACCTACAAAACAACAGAAAGATCTAGACGGCCAAATAGCAGACCCTACAGCCCCACATCAGAAACTCCGATAGATCTGAAACCAGCCAACCTGGCGGGTTTCGGGGACGCAATGCGCGCAGCCGGTGGGCCACCTTGCGCATGAGCTCGCCCCGGAAGAGCCCCGGCACAGGGGATGGAGATTTATTTGGCCAGCCTAAATAAATCCCTGTCTACCGTTACCTGTCAAAATGGGAATTGGGAGATCGGCCGGTCGGACTTGTATTGAAGGAGAGCATGGGACTTGTGATATCAGATTGGGGATTGAGGGGAAGACGGGGATGGCGCGGTTTGCTTGGCTTCTCTGGCAAATCAGGTCGGTAGCCTTGAATTAAGCTTGTATCACATAGACAGCAAAGTATGTTGTAGATGGAAAGAAGGATATGGTCTGAGTCCTCTCAGCCGAGGTCGATAAACAAGGTCTCGGACAATGGTGGCTATTGGTGGATGTTGAGGGCCGCGCCATGCAAGGGATAGATCTTACCCTGCTACCTGGGTTGACTGTGTACAATGTACTTAAGTGTTCGGGATGCAGCCGTTAATGGGTTTGTGTTTGATTGGAACAATCCCATTGTGTGAATTGTCTGAGAGGTGTGCAATTGCGCAATTATCGATCATTAGGCATCAAGTTGGCATGTGCCATCCCAAGCCCTGAATCTTCAAACTGAACCCTCGACATGTCGATCCAGGACTATCCCACATCCCCGCCCAGTGGATCCCCGCCCCGGGGTCCCCGGTGCAGCCGTTGTGGGGAACGTACGAATGCGCTGCGCATCGAGAATTAGACAGGTAATCAGAGTATTCGTGTCCTTCTGGCGGGCTCGGCATCCAGGCGAGTTCTTGCGACGAGTTGGCTATTCAGAGGCAAAGGTGGAAATCTGCTGCCTGAGAGTGTGAGGTTGCGCTGGCCTAGGGGAAGGATTGGTGGCTCCCTTCTTGGTTTACGGGTTGTGGAACTGCGTCCCCCGTGCATGGCGTAGGACTATAATGCCTTGCCTAGGTAGAGGAGCTGTTGTTACATGTTCGTCATTACTCGGTCGAATGGATGGTTCAAGGAGGTTGCGGTAGTATTCAAGATACCTTTGAAGATCGTCTGAACTCCGCAGTCCAGCATTCCTCAAAACCTCCCGTCTCCTAGACAACGAAGTAACAGAGGATCATTCATACTTGAGGTAAAATGTGATGATTTCTATTTTTGTCTATCCATAAAGCATGAGGTAGTGAAACAATTTTTGATGAATGCGAAAAAGAGTTCAGAGAATGCAGATTTTGGGTCATGGAAACACAGGCCACACAAGGCGCTGTATTCCTCTATTTCAGGATTATGGATCACAGATTGAAGAAGGAAATGGTTGTCGTGGGGGTAGCAGGACATGATTCAGTCAGGCATAGTAAAAATGAAGACCGTTGGAGATAGTAACTTCGTAATAAAACAGAGCGATGGTAATACAGCACGCGAAAAGGCGCAATCAAGACATGGAAGAAAAGCGATGCAAAGAGATGACAAATAGGAAAATTAAAGATAGTTAGCTCGAGGGTATCGAGTCATGAGTCGGTAAAGTCGGTAGTCATGGTCTGTAGGACCAGGCATGATGTTCGTTTCGTGGCGCGAGATAGCGCATGTAGAGAACGTCATTGAGCGCGTCTGTGTCCAGCCACATTCGGGCGTGGAGATTCGTTATTTTCATTGTGCGCGGGAAGCAGAATCTGATTTTTGCGTGAGGGAGTGGACGTGTTCGTAATCATCGAGACACATTGGAGACATGAAGACAATCATATGAAATCGTTGGAGTGATCGTTGGTAAAGTCGGTATGTTGTAGCATAGTTTCGTCCGTTAAAGTTGAACCCAAAGAACCGGAACGCCGAGTGAAAATGCATTCAGATGGTGGTAACATTGGTCTTCTTGTGAGACTTTTGGGGCTTCTGGCAGTTCAATGAACGCAGGGAGTTCATGAAGCGCTCGAAGAGAGGCCTGTGCTCGCGAGCCCCATTGGTGGGGGCATGGGCGTACCGGTCGTAGCAGAACGAGGTCAACTTCTCCTTGTCACTCTTGTCAGAGCTGGAGTTGCAGTATTCGGGGGAGTCGGAACGCTGGCGACGCCGGAACTGAGCTTGGAAAGCGGCAGCTGCTGAACGGTCAACGTCGGAGCTGTTGAGACTGCTGTTCTTGCGGGAACGAGCGCGAGCCAGAGAGGTTGAGGAAGGATCAACAAGGCGCAATGATTGCAACCCGTTGTGTGCCCGCACGGCTTCCTTGCCAGTGCTGGGGCGGTCCATGCTGGGGCGGAAAGCTTCGGGGATAGGCTCTCCAAGGATATCCTCTGGCATGCACGGGAACTGCTCACATGTCTGACCATCGGCGATAGTTTGATGAAGTCTCGGCTGTGACTTGGCGGCGCGGAGCTTAGCACGGCTCCGAACCTTGCGCAGTGTGTCAATGGGCCGACGAGACATGGATTTACGGCCAGCAGACTCGGAGTCGGAGTCGGATTCCCACACGGACTGCTCGCAGAAGGCGTCAATAGTAGAGATTGAAGGACGCTCCATCGAGGTAGCGGTCCACTGGCGGGAGATGGGTGGGGAGCTAGCCACGGGACTAGGGACGGGACTAGGGCAGTCATTGGCGGGGATGAAGAGAGGGTGATCAAAATGGGTCATGTGGGGTTCCATGGTAACCGGGTTGATCAAAGATGGAGGAGAGATCATGGAAGGATCCAGGGGAGGGCGGGTTCCAGGGCTGGATTGCTTCCGACGAGATGCGCTGGGGGAACTCGTAGTGCGCGATAGGTTAAGACCGGTAGGAGGCTGCTTCCGGCGGCGGGACCGTGATGAGCAGGATCCTGTAGCGTCCTCGTAGCCCATGGTGATGGTAGTGGTGGAGTCGTTTGAGTGTTGGAAGCACGGCGTGGTTGGGCGAGTATCCAGCGGGTTGAGAGGAGCCACTGGTGGGGGAGGTGGAGGGGGAAGTGAATATGTAGGTGGTGTAGAGGCAGGGAGATAGAAGCGGCGACGGGTCTCAATCTGGACCTCGTTTGCGTGCTTGTACAGCTGCTGAGTCGCCTCGAGGACGGCGTCGGGGCAACTAGGTGAATCGTAGGATGAGGAAAAAGAGCTGCTAGGCGTCAAGTCGGGAGTAGTGCTGTCTGTGTGAACGGAGCTGAAAGAGACCTGGCTGCTGTGCAGCGGACTGCGTTCCTCCGTTGAGGAAGTGTATCGATGGAATCTCAAACTGTTCTCCAACTCCACCTGTGCAAGTGTGGAGCGATCTGGTCCGTATTGTGACGGGTTGTGGATGTCCTTGTTGTGGGTCAAGGAGAGGGTGTAGTATTGGCCTTCGTCTTCAAAGCTATCATTGCGCATGTCCGATGTGTAAGGATTCCAAGATGGTGTGGCAGCCAGTGATTCTTCGAGGTAGAAGGGATCGAGATTTGACTCTTCCAGGACCTTTGGGCCGGCCGGGTAGTAAGATGATCCTCGCTTTGCAGGTGAGGGTGATGGGAGACAAATCGTAGTCTCTGATCTATTTCGATCTTGGTACAAGACGTCCAACTCGCCTGGACAATAAAGACCTCTGTGATCCATGGGACTGTGAGCTCGAGTAATATGAAAGAGAATGAAACACGAGTAAGCAAGATCTCTAGGACCTAGGCACAGTACAATAGATCGAGAGGAGAATTGTCGCAGGACGAGAGAAAGAATTGGAATGAAGAATGAAATGACCGAAGTGGAGGCCAGGGTGAAGGGGATATGTTTATACCAAAAATAACCTCGGACCTAGAAGCCCTATGACAATGACCCGGTGGCTAGCCCCAAAAAACAGATGCATGCCAATGCACAATGGCACAATGTAAACAACAGAAGCACAGACGATCATGACCTATCTGACCTTGCATGGTCCCCTTCCGTAGGGATGGGGTTGCAGCAAGGACCCTTCGATTGGGTCCCCCAGCAAGGGCGCGCGGAACTCGATCCGTATAATTGCACTGAAAAACATCCCGAAGAATACAATGTGGATTGTATGTGTGTCCCCGTGTGCCTTGTGTTCTTGTGTTTCCTGCGTGTCTGTGATCTGTGATATGGGCTCTGGAAGCCAAGGAAGTGACACGAGACGTTCCTACCGCCAGATCTCATTTTCCATTTGAAATAATTTTCAATAATTTTCAGCTCAGAGACAAAAGGTCAAAAGAAAATAATCGTACATCTGCAGTGTGCAGAGATCCTGTGCAGATGGCTGGGAGAGAAAATGTGAGATATCACTGGGCGGAGTTTAC